GACCGCCATTATGGTTACCGCCAAAAAAAAAAAACGAGGTAAAAAAAAAAAACGGTAACCTGGTTGCCGAGTTCACGAAGTGAAATTGGCTTGTTTTACAACGTCGTTGCCAAGCGACGAAAACCCAATCCCGATGGCAAACACCGAGTGGGGGGCTTGTTTTACAACGTCGTTGCCAAGCGACGAAAACCCAAACCCCGATGGCAAACACCGGGGGCGGCGGCGGCGGGGGGGAGGGGGGGGGGTAGCAAGACACCTGGCGCCCCAAATACATCACGGCGTCAGCACCCTTCTCTTCTTCTTGTGAGGTTGAGTGGGACAGGTTCTCGTTCGAGCTGCGCCACGGATACACAAGAGCCCCCAAACAGGCAAGCTCTCGGGGATGAACTCTCTCTCTCTCTCTCTCTCTCTCTCTCTCTCTCTCTCTCGCGTCCACGCTCCCGCCGGACTCACCGCAGCGGTTAGCCCTGCGAACGCCGGGCTCGTCGTGCAGGTAGCTCCTAGGCTGTGGGACGAAGTTGTTTCCCTCGTGGGCGGGCTCGTTGGGGCAGTAGTAGCAGTTGTGCTTGCACGAGAACCGCTGCACCTTGCGCTTGGCCGGCCTTCCCCCAGCACCCGGAACGTCGTACTCCGGGTAGGGGGAGGTGAGCACGGTCACGATGAGGACGCCGCTAAGGCTGCGCACGTGCTTGCTCACGAGGGCCTTCTCGAGGGCGTCGTTCCGGACCTGCGGCGGCGGCGGTGGCCAAGGCCGAGGCGATTGGGTGCTATGTCTCAACTTTCACGCGCACGGTAGTCACCCTTATCATAGATCTTGTCATGATATATATTCTCCCTATGCTTGTTTCTGTCCACCGGGTGGCCCGGTGTGTGGAATCATGATCATGCATGCCGTAGTCGTTTGGCTGCAGAACGGCGCACAGGGAGTGGGACACTCTTTGGTTTGGTGCGGGGGAGGGACGATCATTTCTGTCGATGAACGGGACTTCGAACTACGTGGGGGAGGGTTCCTCAAATCCTGCTGCTTGTCTGTGTCATAAACAACTGACCTCGAAATGGAGCATCGTTTCCACACAAAGAAACACTCGTATCATTCTGCTCACTGCACGTTACGCCTCCAAGAACAGATACACCGACATGGGAAAAACGTCACATCGATCCTGATACATGGTGCAGAGTTGCAGAGTTGCAACACGCTTAGAGAGGCATGGCGCGAACGTCATGCGTCGTGCCTTGCAATGTGGCAGACACAACCGCCTCGCATAATCAGACCGCCCCCCGGACGAGGCAAAACGTTGGTACCATATTCTGCTGCCGTACGAGCGAGCGAGCGATCGCGGCGGTGCTGCGTCGATCAAGCTACCATCCACAGCGTGGGGTGACGCTGCGCTTACATTTTACGTGTGCACGCCCGGTAATTTCACACACGTCTTCACGGGCCCCGCACACAAACGCGCTACAGTAGCACACGAGCGAAGCAGCGGCAGAATCACACGCAAAGGCAATTATTTAGTAAGAACATTGAGCCCGTGACACCTGATCGTGAGGCACGCGCCCCGCATAGCAGCAGTCTCGGTGGGGGCATCACGTACAAAAAAAAAAAAATGCTGTGCGAGGAGGCGGAGGAGGAGGACGAAGAGAAGGAGGTCTCTGGGTGTCCTTACCTCCTGGGCCATGTAGAGGTGGTACACAACGTTCTTCTTGGGCACAAACTTTTCCTTACGCCGGAAAATGATGAAACGCTTCTCGATCTCCTTCCAGCTCCGGAGGGGAAGGATCTCGTTGAGAAGCTCCTTCAGCGCCGGCATGCGCGACTGTTGTTTCGAGCGCGACGAGGCAGTCAGCAGTGTCGGGTCCACACCAGGTGTGGAAAAAGAAGGTGTTGTTCATGCCTGCTGTAACGCATGAATAGCACACAGAATAGCGTCCTTGGGGGGGTAGGTATCATGTCGCCCAGCGGCCCCTTGATTGAGCTGTGAGGTCTGGGCCGGTCATGTCTGCTGGACTGCGGTAGGTTGTAGGCACTGTATCGAACGTGTTAGAAAGGCTTACCCATTAGACTACTCAGTCAGCGCTGACTGAGCAGTCTAATGGGTAAGCCTTTCTAACAGAACGCACGATTCCTAAGATGAATGCGAAGACATCGACACCAACGGGAAGAAAAAACATGATATAATAGATAACAAACTCTGGACCGCAAGTCAAAACGACGGCCACAACAAGGTAAAAAAAGAAAGAATAGCAGCCGCAGCAGTAACCCAGCGAGAACCGATAGTGGGTGGCAGAAAGACGACCAGCAGAAGCTGTCACCGCCTCAAGGAAACGCAACACCCAACGAAATCTTCCGCTGTGTCGTGCATCGATTGCTTCGAAGCTCAACCTTCGGGGGGTAACTAATCTCTTAGAGTGCCGAGGTACTTGCAACGTAGGGATGATTGTGGGCGTTCGCGATGCATCTACGGTGGTCCATGTGAAACGCTTAGTCCGGTTGTATCATGAATCATGACATAATGACCTCACGGCCACGGCTCGGTACGCTTGGCCAGCATCAGTTCCTACATTCAAAATTCTACGATTTTCTCTGTAAAATCGGTAACATTTCTGCACAGAAAGACACACGTGCAACCCCACACGCCATAGACGCGTACAACAACCCCTCAGCGTATGCATGCGCGGTGCTCACGAAGGCATTTTCGTGTTTTCGTGGTGCTTGATTGTTTTTTTGCGCCGCTCCATGCTGGTCGGGCCTCGCGCATGGCTGTATGATACGTAAAATACAGTCTAGCGGACACGAAAAACAACTTGTGGTTTGTGAATCTACTGCAAACCAACCTTTGTCCATTGTAGAATTCTAAGCCGGACAATGTAAGCACATCAATATCGCTCGTGTTAGAAGTGTTAAGAGTGGAGTTGGGTTGGTACGGCGTTGTCAATAGTGCTACAGCCGTTTGGCGGCGTGCTGCACGGGTTGGTGGTGTCGTATCAGCCGCAGCAGCAACATCAACTGCATGTCATTGACGGACGACGCTGTAAAGTCTTAGTTCTTCCAGAGAGACCCATGCATATGAAGTGGGACATGTGCTCAGCAACACCAAAAGACCCAAAGCAGCAGAGTGGTTTCAATTTCTCCAAGGCTAGCAGCAACAGCTGCTGCTGTCACCGCCGAGTGCACCTGCTGCTGTTGTGTGATCTGTTGGCTCACGTGCGGCGAGATTTTACTCCACAGCAATCTACTCCACATGCCAACTAATATCCATCCGTCAATTATATTTCACACGCTGGTACCTCATGATCGGCATCGTACACCAGGCTCTCGATGTCGGGCGAGGCGCTATGCCTGACTTCCTCTGTCACTTGGGGAGGTGCCATCGCGGAAGCTGAAGCAGAGTGAGTGAAGCCACAACAATGCAGCGGCCGCTCCGCAAAAGGGCACCGCGAAGTAGATCATAGTTGCGCTATGTACCCCCCAGCACAACGCACTCTAGAGGGCCACCAACCGAACGCACTCATCTGCTGCTTTCTGCGTGCAGCAGTCACTCGGCTCTCTCTGTACTTCCTAGTGTTGTCGACACACACGTGGCGCGTACGTCGACGCCCCCACGCCCCCCTCCCCCCTCCCCCCCCCGCGCTTCTCTGCTCATGGCTACCACCATGGCTCGACCACCCTTCCACGACCAGAAGACCGGGGTTCGATATGACTGCAACAACCCGGACCACGCCGGTTGGTTACGGAAGGAGAGCGTCTGGCTCAAGGACTGGCGACCTAGATTCTTCGTGCTCAAGGGGAGCAACCTCTTCTTCGCCAAGGTGTGATTTGCAGCAGCTAGGGTGGTAGAGTGCGGTCCGCTGTTCAACGGCGGTGTTGTCGAAGGCTTTCGTGTGCAACAGGCGGTCTATTATTTTTCAGTGATTCGATTTTGGTCACGTCTTGGGGGAGTCAACAGCAGTAGCAGCGACGTCGGCGATTGTATTGTTTCGAGAGAAGGACAAACGGCTGTGAGCACGAAAGGATCGATGGTATGCATACCTTGGAACATTTTACCCTCATGTGTGTACCACAGTAATGTAGTTTCGGCGCTCCTCCCCGTGGCTTTGCTTTGTCGTGATGTCGATGTGTGCGTTTTGACCTCGGTAGACAAAGCGACACGCGCAAAATTTCCACCGAAAATGTTCGGGAGAGAGCATGCATGCTCAATACTGCTGCTGCTTGTAGTACATAAACACGTATACCGTCCTCTAGATAGGATTCGGCACCCGTGATGATGATTGCAGATCGATGGGTTCTCTTACTTACGTCCACGCAGCAGCAACAACAGCCATGTTACCCGTATTGTAGCTCAGGGAGCGCTGTGGACACGAAATGGTCGAGACCGCAAACGTAACACAACAATATATAAATACGGTAACCTCTCAGAAGGACATAATCATCTGTGAGGTCATTTATGCTTTGGTGTTGGCGGTCTCGACCATTTTTTGTCTCCATACTACTGCTGTAGCGCAGTGGTAGGTAACATCTACATTGCAGTGCCCGCTTATTTGTGGAGCAAAAAATTTGTGGTTTTCGTCTGGCGCTTGCCACGAGATATTAACTCTTCGACAACCAGTCTGTCCTGTTCAAACCGTTCCGTTCTCGATTCCAGATGCGCATCGCCTACACCAAGACGTACAACAGTCTACGTAAATATATGTTTCATGTTTTCTGAAAGCACCACGTGCCACACGAAAACTCTGGCTGCCGTCCCTCTTGGTCACGTTTTTAGTCGGAGTACGAGACGCCGCACGGGAGAATCGACCTGAGCTCGTGCATGACGGTCAAGTCGGCGGAGCAGAAGACCAGCAAGCGAAACGCCCTCGAGGTTTCCACCCACGAAACAACGTACTTCATGTACGCCAACACCGAGAAGGTATTATGTAGCGGCTGCTGTGCATATGTGTAACTTAACTTTGAACGTTGGGAGATCGGATAATCGGGATTGTTTCTTGTTTCATGTATTTTGACTCGTTCGAGTTTTTACCGAAGTCATCTGCAATGGAACGGAGGCCATGAAAGCAATCGCACGCGTTCTCCTTGGCCTGAAATTAGATCAACATGCGACCTACCGGTACAGTTGCACCACAGAGCTCAGTTTGTCGGTGATGTTTCGCCCTTATGTCAAACTCATGTACCGACAGACCGCCGTGCTGCCCGAAGCAGTATTTTAGTCTCGTGTGCGTGGACTACAGGGTGTTGGTCTCGATCCCCAAAAGAGAACCTGCTTCTGACCCCGGTCCAGCACCTGGTCGTGGACGTAGATAGTGTAGCCCTTGTTCGTTTCAGAAAAAGGATGTTCCGTGAAAGGTTTTCATCTTGCCTGCTTTTGAAGTGCATGTAGCATACCACATACCAACAGCGTGCTGTGCTGTTGCCGCCTCTGACAGGAGAAGGACGATTGGATAGGGGCCATCGGCAGGGCAATAGTTCAGGCGTCGAGCACGTACCAGGGCGACAACAACAACGGCGATTCCGATTCCGACGACGAGTACGACTACCGCTGACGGTGCTCTCAGCTCTCGTATACCGTGCGGGGGGAGACAAGGAGAGAGCCCGGGGGCGGGGGAGGGGTTTCAACAGAGGCGACGATGCCATAAAAAGAGACGTCGGGACCCACTGCTGTATTCAGGCCGCGGCAGAGGGAATGAAACGGGCGGGGCGAGAGGAGCACGGGGGACTGCGAAGCTTAATGAGGGCGTAAAAGGACGAAGAAGGCGGCGGCAGACGCGGCGCGATGATGTGACTCTCCGTCGTACCCGGCTCGTGGCCTGCCGTCACCAAGCAATAGCTAGTGGATGAGCAGCAACGTCGTGAGGGGAACCATCAAGGATGTATAGTATAGACCCGGGCCGTGTTCTGTTTTTGCCCAGAACACGCGCTTGGTACACGCAGCTACCAGGGGCGGTCGGTACAGGGCACCTGGGGGGCTGGAGGCACAAGCACCAGATATCACATCGCCTGGACCGATTGTCAGAGCTCGATTACTCCACGACGAAAAAAGGACAAAACAAACCAGACGGTACGTTTTCGGGTGGTGGTGCTCGACACGAATTGGCACACACGTAGCGTCGTAAGTAACGCGTGCGCTGCCGTAGGTACGACGATTGGTTGCTTCTTGTGAAAGGACAACTCGTAGGCCATGCCCTGCGGCATGGATTTTTGCAGAGAGAGAGAGAGAGAGAGAGAGTAGGTGTAATGTGTGGACGTCGCTTTTTGTTCCACATCCCGTAGAGCAGGCACTCGCTTGCATCCTTGGCAAGCAGAATGATGGGACGGGATGCGAAGACATGTATATTCAGTTAAAAGAGAGGAGTGCTCGGGATGGCGAGGGGCGAACGCGGGTCTCGCGTTCGGTAAGTAAGGCGGGGCTTGCAGGATAGTTGGGGTCAGCAGCGTCCGGGGGATGGATGGTGCCGGAGACTGGGGCGCGTTGGTTGTATGTGTGTGGTAGGTGTTTTGGGAATCGCTAGAAGTTCGTCTGGCCGTGAAGGGATGGAGATTGTGGCTGCGGGATGTGGGGAGTGAAAGGCCCATCTGTGTGTCGTGTTGTTGAGTTTTCAACCTGTGACACACCCAGACCAAGTGCTTTGTCTGACCATCCGTGTAACGACAGGCAGCAGAGTGTCACGGTTCGAAAGGGTTCTTAGCCCCTTCCCATCTGGCGAGAGTGTTCTGGACATGTGTTTATATGTTTCAAGAGACAGCGGTTGATCTACACTCGCCAGTTCGGTATGATGAGTTGTGGCCGTTTTGTTGGCTTTTTTCCCCCTGTGTAGCGGCGGTCTCTCGTTCTTGATTTTCCGTTCCGGAAGTGAGGTCATAGATCGTAGAAGGGGACAGCAGCAGTATCTAAACGCGATATGAGGGTGAAACGTCAAGAACCCTGAAACGTCGGGGGGATGGGGCATTTTCAACTCGTACCCTTTTCCCGGGCATGACATTGAAACTTTTGCATTGCTCTAGCAAACAAGGCCTGCCTGTGAATGTCAGCGCGTGGGCACGTGCTCAATATTTTCTCAGATTGTCCTGTCGGAGACAAGCCAACAAGATAAATCCCAATAATGTGAGCGATGGCGAGTAAAGATAACATTCCTAGCGAGGGAAAACCTACCGCAGCAAGCCGAGGCGGCCCGTACCACGACTGGGACACGCGTGGAGCCTTCCACGGGCAGCGCGCTTCACTGCCGCGTTTGACTGTAGATGAGAGCACACCTGCAGTATGTCCGCGCGCATTACGCCATCTTCCAGATAGACTCCAAGGCTTCACACAAACAAACCAATTTTTGCGCCCAAAAGCTATTAGCGATAGAGTCGTACTTCAAGACAACCCAAACACTTGCTCAACATCAGCACTAGTTCGCGGCATGTCACCCACCCCCAGGGTCAAGTTAAGTCGCACAGAGCCGACCGCAGCAACAAAAAATTGAGGCCTACTGCTCATGAACGGCGGTGCGGTAACGGCCCGCCCTGCACGTGTCGAACACGTGCTCCGGAAGACTGTCCGACTTGGCATGCACCTTCGCCACCTCCATCGTGTCCAACGGCTCTGCAACAATACCAGACGCCAGGAGAGACCAAAGAAACGCACGGACACGCGAGAACATATTATATGTCGGTCAAGAGCGAGGCTTGCGTGCGTGTCTGCGCCCACGCTTGTGTTCCAAAATTTACTACCATCGACCGCGCTAGCTAACCGGCTGACCAACCGGAAGACGCCAGTTTGAGTGCGGCTACAGAGGGTAATTCGTGTTTGTGTGTGAGTGAATCGTACGCTCACGATTGCAGTTCGTGCGTTTCGGCAGGACACACAAACACGGCAAGACGCGGGTTAAAAGAGTCGTTCTTGCAGTACCCCCCCCCCTGCCAGCCTATTCGTTCCCTCTACGTTCCGTCCAACACGGATCGGGTCGGGGGTCGCTTCTTACCGTTGACGACCTCTTCTACCCTGGCGTAGTGCTTCAACACGCGCAAGAATTCGCGCCTGGTGTACGGCTCGACCGGAATCTGGCACACGAGTCGGTGCGATGAGGAAGACAAAAAAGACGGATGCAATAACTATTTTCAGGACACGAAGGATGTGAAAGGGCGTTTGTTTCTACCATTTCTCTCCCCTTGTCTGCATACTTTCGTCTCCCATCTGAGAAGGCGATGCGCGAGGCATCCTCGAAAAACAAAAATGGACCCAGCTCATTTTCTCTATTGGATTATTGCGTTGTGTCCTCTAGGGCAGGTAGGCTGTGGGAACACGGAAGGCATCCGCGTCCCCAACGTTCGGGTGCTAGAAGGCACCGAGCAGACATCGGAACAGTTTGTCATGTGAAGACAAGAACAAGCGAGAGCGCATGCTCTTAGGTACCGAGCAGACATCGGAACCGTTTATCAATGTGAAGACACCGCCAAGAAAAAAACAGCAAAAAAAAAAAAAGAAGCTGGTTAAGAGTGCCAGGTTGGTGGCTCGGGAAGACGGGGGTTCGAACCCCCCTGCCCGTCCTCGCCAGAAGTTTAGTTGTTTCATGCGTTGGGATGCAAATCCAAAAATGAGGGTTTGGATCCCTCTCCAGTCTTGGTTTGCAAACCCAAAACTCGAGCCCAAAAATGAGGGTTCAAATCCCTCTCCAGCCTTGTTCAACAGAACAACAACAACAACAACAGTTTTCAACTGCAACAACCCCTTACCGACACGGCTTGCGCCAGCCGGCCCGCGGTGGCTTCGAACGGGACCCACTTCTTGTTCTTCCTTAGCCTCTTCAACGGAGGGTACCTCCCGGACACGGCGCAAACCACGATGCCGTTCGCCGGCGGTGGCGGCAGGCAAGCCGCCCCGGTCTCCGGGCTCATCCAGGCCACCCCCCCCGCCTCTGCAGGAGTTCTCTTTCTCTCGGCGACCACCTCCGGGTTGGCAAGGGCCGCCACCGAGTCGTCCGCGAAGGCCAGGCCAGTGCCGGTCGAGACCAAAGGCGGCAGGAGCGGCAGGGTTGCCGTGAGGTGCGGCGCTTCCAGCTGTGTCCGTTGGTTTTGTTAGAGGGAGGGGTAGGGAGGAGGGAGGAGGGAGGAGGGGGGGATGATTTGAAAACGGCCCCTCGGAAGGTCAACGTACTTCCACATTTGGCAGTCCTCAACACCTAAACGCAGCAAATGTCAAGAGGGCTCATTCTTGCAAGTGCGAATGTCTCGCCAACAGCGGGTGCACGCCGAGCCACTCCGCAGGACGAAAATGACGTGCATGGTGGGCACTCGACACGCAGCAAAAAAGCAGCGCCAACAAGCTTTCATCGCAGCCTTCCTGCGACAGGCAACCCCGTGCCCACTCCCCTCCCGATACCCGCGACACTGCAGCACTCGCCTTGTTGTCCCCGTAGTGCCATTGGGACATCTGGAAGAGCTCGTTGTACTCGTCGATGGCGAGCATCACCTTCGCCTCCGTGGTCGCCAGCAACTCCCTCATCACGTCGTAGTGAGCCGTCCCCGCGTGTTCCTGTGTCGAAACACAAAAATGCACAGCTCGATGTGGTGTGCAATATGGGGGCAGGCTCCGAAACACACAACTTCAAACCACACAGAAGTCACGAAAACCTGAGCAAGGCAGTCTCGACGAGATGAAAACAAACGAGGCGGTTAGCAACAATAAGCGGCATGGGAGAAGCGGGCCTAAGCATCCACACCGAAACGCTGAACCACAAGACTACGAGACAGGATCCCCCGCAAGACAAAACGACCGTAGTGGAGCAGGGAGGGCCGCGGGAGCAAACCTCTCCGTACACACAGGGGATCCCAACGGCATGTGCGGCCAAGAGAGGCAGCACATCCGCGTGGTCGCAAACAACCATGACACGCCACACGCGCGTTGGCCCCATCCGTTGCAACCAACACATGAGGATCCCCCCCCCCCCCCCTCGCGTTCTCCACATGACTCTTACTTGGTCAGCCAGACCCATGTCCATCACGTCCAGCAGCGTCTTGGCGCCCTCGTGCCGGCCGAGCACCTGTACACACAGTGCGAGAGGCACGAAAAAAAACTGAGGACAGGCTCTCGAGGGGATGTGGACTCTGAGAAAGGAAACCCCTATTTGAAACCGGCAACCTCGAGAAGACAAAGAGGAAGATGTCGTAGCGGGATCGCTTTCGGTTTCCACTACAGAGCGGGGCGAAGATGTAGACAGACATTCGCCCTAAAGCGTGTTGGAACTCCTCTGGATGAACCACGGGGGAACGAGAAACAGACGAAGAGGGGAAAATGTCGTGCTCAGGGCCGGGGACAAAAGGCCATCACCAACTGACCCGCGCGGGACAGCGGCAAGGGCGAGTTGGCGGCGGGTCTCCCCACGCCACGCCATCTTACCCTAGGGGAAAACGGGGACGACGATCAGCAACGAAACACTGACGCACGAAACGGTACCTCGGGGTCCTTGATGCTGATGTTCTTGAGCTGGTCGCCGTGAGCTTCCCGAAGAGTCTTGAGCCTCTTCATAGACTGCAAGACAGGCAGGCAGGCGGGGGGGAACGGAGCTTGGGATGGGGGGGTGCCGTCGTTGGTTGGAATGGGGTGTGCACGACAAACCTTCGACAACTAGACTAGGGTTGGGGTTAGGGATTGGGTAGGGTTAGGGTTAGGGTTAGGGTTAGGGTTAGCAAAAACAAAAGGGGAGTGTGCCGATTGACCGAAAGAAGCGATGACGCCCGACAGTCAAGATTGCGAAAGAGTCTCTACAACGCCAACCGAACACCAAAACAGTTATCAGAGACTGAACGACCTCTTTTCGACGCGATCACCCACGCTTTCGACCCCCCGTCAAGTAGGGCTGGGATTACCAAAACGCGACACTCCTGTGCCCCATCTCCGAGACCGCTTGCCGCACCCTTGGCAAACACATTCCTCACAACCAGAGGACGGGGCTCCACAAAACATAACATAGGCTATCTTAAAAACACCCCGACAACTGAAGGCCGGCCGGCAAAATAGTTCCAAACACGGTTAAGTACAAGAGGCGAAAGAGCAGCACCGACTCGCCTGGACTGGAAGGTCGTACAACCCTTCCAGGACAGGGGACGGCTGGCAGTAGATCCCCTTCTGGACCAGGTTCCTCCCATCCGGCACGAAGAGAACGATCCATCCTGTCGACCTGTGCCGACAAGGAACGGCCAGCACGGGGCACTCGTTGTCCCAGTAATAGCAGGTAGGTGCGTAGAGGGAAAATACTCTGCTAACAAAGGGAACTCTTCCACTCTTTCACGAACAGGGTAACCCACGCAGAAGAAATGAACAAGAGCGTTTGTTTTCGAGCCCAACGTAGCCGTCATGAGTCAATTCTTTGTGTGCGAGACTGACGCAATTCTCGTGTGCGAGCTTTGCGGTTCGTTGGAGACGATGGCCATAGGACTACATCTCTAATGTTGTCGGTACGTAGCTCGAAGACATCTGCATGACCAACGAACCCACCAGTGCGCCAGGAGCGTGAGTACGAGGAAGGGACGAAAACAGCGAGAGAGAGAGAGAGAGGGTGGCACGTGCACCTCTAGCATAAAATGCTTGCCCTTCACAAAGTCTCGAGTGCTTAGAGCGCAATCCTGCGACCATCCAGATGTAAGCCCGCTCTGCCTTGCGCCCGTTTCTATACCTACACTCGCAGCTGCGGTACGTCACAGCCAGCTCGCGGTAACAAGCACCATGTGGCGCGACAATAGCGAGTGCAGATACCCCAAACAAACCTTACCTGGCGTGGAGGACGGCATGATCGAGGACGCAGCTCTTGCCGGAGCCCCGCCGCCCAGTCAAGAGGTACGAGCGCTACGTTATTATCAGACAGCAGCCGCACGCACATGCGGAAAGGTCAGCGGTGGCGTGGTGACTGGCGGGGCGACGTGCACATGTTTGCTCCCTTCGTGCAGCTGCAGTAGACGCCACGTCAGCGACCGCGCGCGGGGGTGTCAAGGCCGTGGCTGGGACGCGCGCTGGCAACCAATAAGCGGCAATCTTGACAATTTTTTCACGCGCGCGCTCCGATTTGGTGATTACTGCTACGAACAAAAATGTTCCCGCCGACATCACCAACTCCACGGACGCACCTGACCAGGCTGAATCACCACGCGTCGAACGCCCTTGAGCGGTTTTCGCTTCGACTCCGCCAAAGCCTTCATCTCCTCCCACACCGGCCCGCTCCCGAGGACCTTCTTGTCCTCCCCTCCCTTCCCCTCCTCCTGCTCCGGCCCTTCCCCGCCCGCAGCCGCCGCCGCCGCCGCGGCCCTGGCCGCCGCCTTAACCGCTTCGGCCGCCGCCGCCGCCGCCGCCGCCCCCTCCGCGGCCGCTGCCGTCACATCCCCGATGATGTCATCATCATCGCCGTCGTGGTCCTGATCCTCACCGTCTGGCGATGCCGCCGCCGCCGCCGCCGTTGCCGCGTCTGCTTTAGACCCACCGCCGTCCTGCTGGCTACCGTACTGCCTCGCCTCGCTAACCTTGCGCCAGTTCTCGCTGGAGGTGCCCTCGATGCCGAACGGCGGCGCCGCCCCCCCGTCTTCTGGCGCGAAGGCGTCGAGGGAGTGGATCAGCGCGTCCGCAGCCTCGCGGCGGAGGAGCGCTGTGGACGTGCCGCCGGCCATCGCCCGCTCCAGGGCGCCCTGCCCGCCGCCGGCGAGGCCCTCCGGGAAGATGGTCTCCGCTTCCGCTAGCCGGAGGTCGAAGAAGTCCTCGTACTGTAGGGGTCATTTACGTGATGAGAATACGAAGGGAGGAAGCGCGACGGCGAGTGTGTGAGAAAGGGGCCAACGGAAAGGCCGGCTCAATTAAAAAGAAGCGCTTACACCTTGATGGGAGCGCGTGCGGGTGCGCGCAAACAAATGCCGCGAGCGAATGACGCGCACGGTTGCCGAAGCACCAGCAGGCCGACGGCTTCATCTTTGCACGGACGGCTGCTACCCAGCAGAGTAGGGTGGGACTGGACTGCTCCCTGTTGTGCTATGAGATGGAGCGTTGCCGTGAAACGCATGTGCCGCTGGAACTGCGAATCGCCCGCGCGCTCTCGTCTTGCGGCTGCTCGATGTGCAATCGCTCGCATACGTGCCAGTCACTGCTGCTGCGCCCGAATGCAAACACCGCAGCGTCCGCGCCGTAGGCTACTGCTGTACAACGTCGGCGGCGGTCAGACGTCACCAGCCTCGTTCCCGGTTTGGCTTACCCGCGACAGCAGGAATTACGCCGCACACAAACCCTTCTTGGGCACACTCTAAGGTGGAAACTGCTGAATAGGTGCTAGACCATTTGCCGTGCTTGTTGCCACGCCGTCCTCGAGTGCACTGGGTTGGGTCGCTTCGGCGCGCAACCGATGCATACCAAGGTGGCCTAGGCCCCTCTTTACATATGGCACCCAGCGCACTCCGACCGAATGGACGCCGAAAAACTTTTGCAGACAAAACGCTACACACCGTAACACACCTTATCCCCATCGTCCAGCCTAGCGAGCCTGTCGTCGTTGTTTCCCCCATCAAACGTCTTTCGCCCGGGTTTGCTGCCGCTGCTGCTGCTGCTGCTGTGGCCCGGGTCCGAGTCCTGCGCAGCACCTTCCTCGGGAGCAGGCCTGGTTGCTGTAGTCGACGAGAACAGAGCCTTGCCGCAACTACCGCTGTCTCTTCTCCCCAGGAAAATCGACGACGCGGGGTACTGGTGTCTATGAGCGGGAGGGCGAAACCCTAAGGGAGCACTGCTGCTGCTGCCGCTGGCGCTGCCCTTGAGAGCAGTGCTGCGTGAAGAGGAGGAGGAGAGGCGGGCCAGCAACCGCACACCGCTGATGGAGCTCTGCAGTTGGTCGTGCACGAGCTGAGCCCTACATGAATGGCCCCGGGCCCGAATCAACCCAAACCTAGTCGCCATGGCTGCCGGGCTTGCTCTTGCACGCACTGCTACCGCTCCGCGCAAGCTTAGCTCCGGTGAGCTCCTGTGTTGGCTGCCCTCGGGTTCACCAGTGGGGGATCTCCGGTTGGAGAGCGAAAATGAGTACAAGTAGGGGGACCGATAACACGAATCGTTCCGCGTCGCCCCCAGTCCTGAGCTGATGAGACCTGAGCAGAGACGAGTTGCAACCAGGGCACGCGGAACATTTACTATCTCGCCTGCTGTGGTGACAGGGGTGTGCGACAGTAGGGGAGTTTGTGCACAAAATACACACCAGAGTGTTTATCAGCACTTGGTGGTGAAGTTTTTGCGTTGTTCGCGGAGTGGAGGGCTGGAGGCTCAACAGCTGCACAGCAGCAGTAACGACTTAAGGAGACAGAAGCAGCAGGCAGCAGGGGTAGCAACCAACATGTCGATTGCCCCCGTCTCGCAGTTCTTCATCCTGTCGCCGCGTGGAGACACCATCATTTCCAAGGACTACCGCGGCGATGCAGTTGCGGGCACGACGGACACCTTCTTCCGAAAGGCAAGCCGAAACACAACTCTTGTCCGTATTGAAAATGTGTCGGCGGAGAGATAAAACATCTTCCTCGCCATGGAGTACGGAGCGGCAGGCACTGCTTATATAATCAGTAGATCAGTAGCAGGCGTGCCTTCCAGCAGTACATGCAGTCGCTTTGGGTACGCCGTACTGCAAGGCTAGATGGCAGTGGAGGCCCGCAACTGCTGTGGATGAAGTTGTTCCAGGTTAATGCTGCCCAACACCATTGCCTCATTTCAGCTTTGGCAACCGACCGACCAACGCTAGGGCAGACCGCATACAGCAATACCGACCTCAACGAAGTACAACGACTGCAGCGCACATGGGTCGGATGTCGTCGAGCATGTTGTGCTCTTGGTGGTTTGGGAGTCTTGTACAGCAGTTGTTCCCTTGCCATCATTCAAGAGTGACGGGCGCAGGCGGGAAACGGCTTGCAGTTTTACCGCACCGCACGGAGAGGGCGGCCATTGCCACGACGAAGTTACGCACGCTGCCGCATCTTGTAGATGATCCCAACAACAATCACGCCATGTATAGGAGACGTTGTCTCCGTAGTCATGGCGACAGCAGAACCAGCGTTGTGGTTTTCACGTCGCTTGTGTTAAACGTGCGCTACCCTGTTGTTGTTTTCGCGGTATCGCACAGGTAAAGTTCTGGGAAAGCGGAGACCCGCCGCCGTGCTTCACCATCGACGGCGTCAACTACATCTACGTCCGCAAGAACGGCCTCCTGTTTGCGGTGTCGACCCAGTGGAACGTGTCTCCAAGCATGTTCCTCGAGCTCCTCAACCGCCTGGCCAAGGTTTTCAAGGATTACTGTGGCGTCCTGTCGGAGGTGCGCGTTGGTTGGCTTGGACGTTTTTTCATGGAGGCAGGGGGGAAATGGCTTGATCACATTATGTAAGTCTTAGATGAGGGTGTATGGACGGAAATGGTATAACAGATGGTTCGGTTCGCGGCTTTGCTTGCTGCCGATGTTCTTCTGATTATCTCGGCCGACGTACCCCCCCCCCCCAGGAAGCTATCCGAAAAAACTTCATCCTGGTGTACGAGCTGCTGGACGAAACCTTGGACTACGGGTACCCACAGGGCACCAGCACCGAGACGCTTCGGAATCACGTCCGGAATGAGCCGATCTTGGTAGATTCCGTCAAGTCCATGCGGCTCCCTTCAGTGAGTGCCACTCGCTCACGGTGCAGTCCGCTCGCTGTTCTTCCCCCAGCGCTTGAATCTGTGTGTTCCGAGAGCTGTGGCAACGAAATGCCAGGCATGTGTATTATCGAATGTTCTGCGAAGGACTGAAGACGGCCCCGGGACCTTCTTGTCGTTCCAAGGAAATTTGCGGGGACCGCACCAGCACGAGAACACGTCTAGCCCCCTCAAATTGTTGGCTTTGATTTTGAGTATTGCATGTGCAACGATGACAAAATCCCCTTTGCCACGCAGGCCCTCAAGACGAAGACAGCGCCGTCATCGTCTATACAGAAGCCCGTGTCGGGGAGTGGGCAAAAGAACGGGTCTCAAAGGAACGAGATATTCGTCGACATCCTCGAGAGGTTTGTGTTGAGCGCGGTTGATAACCGGTGTGATACGTCCCTCTTTTTGCGAGCATTCGCGGGCATGTTTTGGTGGGTGGTGTTGTTACCGTATTTGTTGCACCAGCTTGTCTTGTTTTCTTCACATTTTTGAAAATCTGCCATGTTTGGCTTCGGGGTTGGTTGTGTCGGAAGGCAAACCCTGGAGCGCATTGGGCAAGTGTGGGATGCTGGCCATGGCGGCTTGTCTGTGTTATCGCTGTGCACTGCTGTGCGTGGCTCGCGCTGCTGCAAACACACCATTGTACATCGGCAGAGTTCTATGCTCACAAGGAATGTTCCTACTGATTGCGACACACGTGGCACGTACGTCTGGTTTCTCCCACACGCAAAACGATGAACACATCTGCGCCCGCGGGCGTAACTGCCTCTGGGGGCGGTCTTCGATTGTTACAGATTAAGCGTCCTGTTCAGCCAAAGCGGCCAGGTGGTCAACAGCTCCATCGACGGGTGTATACAGATGAAGAGCTACCTCAGCGGTGAGTGGTGGGTACTGCTGCGGTCGGCAAGCACCCCCGGCACGATAGATAAGACCCTTTCGGTGACCTCCTTTTTTTTTTTTTCGAGATCTACGTGCGATCTCCCGACACCGCCGATGCGACTTGCCAGAAGCATTCATCCACGCAAATCGTATTGTATTTATTTCGTACAACTCAACACGAGAGCGCTTGGACGTCACGCCCCGAGTCACTGCGGGTGGTCAAAAGGCTCCCGCATCGGGAAGATGTGACGCAGTCGATAAACACCACCTTGTACTATAGTACGTTCTCACGGCCGGTCTCTTCTTCGATACCGGCACGGAGACGCTAGCTTTGCCTCTAAATTTAGCACTTTGATTTCTGGCTCTGTTGATGACGTCGAGTGCCGTTTATGTCGAGAATTCTTATTGAAGTGCACGTCCTACCGAATGTAGCGGCTGTGGCATAGTCGATGGTGCTGTTTGGTTCCGGAGGGCCTTGACGTGTGGAACAATGTCCCCAACGATTCGTGATTTTTGTCGCGTTTTCTCTCCAGGAAACCCGGAGCTCCGATTGGCCTTGAACGAGGACCTTGTGGTGGGGAAAGCGAACGCGGGATCGAGCTTCGGGTCGGTGGTGTTGGACGTGAGTCACTCCAATATTCTTATTCCTTGTTCCCTTGTTGGCCGCTTTGCATGAAGAGAAGAATCGTCGAGGGACATCTCGAGGAAGAGCCGGAGCGTCGGTTGTGCGAACAACATGAACCGGGGTTGTCGTGGGCAACGTCGCTTTCTTTTCGCCAGCAGTGGTGGAAAACAGCGTTGGTTATTGGCGGTAGGTTATCGTGAGGTATCGAGCTGGCCACTCGTACATAGGGAGTACGCATGTCTTGCGGCATATTTCCTGCAGCAACCTTGCTGACGTCGCGGGCTCCAACTTAACTGTCGACGCGCGGTCAAACGCAAAGGGGGATAAATACAGAGGGGCGGTGGTCGCTCGCCAGCGGTCTTTGCTAACGCTAACGCAAGGTGCACGAAACCCCGCTACTGCCTTGCTGCCGTTCCTTTTTTCCGTGTCTCCGCCGTCGCGAAGGACTGCAACTTCCACGAATGCGCCAAGCTTGACGAGTTCGAGTCGATGCGGCAGCTGAGCTTCACCCCTCCGGACGGAGAGTTCGTGCTGCTCAACTACCGCATGAACGCCGAGTTCCGGTGCCCGTTCCGCCTGTTCCCGAGCATCGGCGACATAGACCCTTACAGGTACATTTGTTTCTGTGTACCTACTCTTGCCTTTTCCCCATCGGTGACACAGACCCCGACAGGTACAGTTCTTTCTGTGCACCTTCTCTTGTCGTTCCCGCTTCGGCGACATAGGGGACCCCTACAGGCACTTTGGTACACTTTGTATACATCTCCTATTCTCTTGCGTGTCCCCCATCCCTCTTTTTGTCTCTGCCGTTCCTTCTTGTTAGAAGCAGCGACGCTCCTCTCCCGCCCCCGGCCTGAGTGCCGAGCCGTCAACCTCCCGCACGCGTTGTGTGATCAGAAAGACTGGGATGATTGATGGCCCGATTCTGTGTTCTCTGTTTCGTCTGTCTTGAACGCACTTTGCACGAGCCAAACTTCACACCCGACCCGTTTGTGCTATATAGCGTCGAAGCTTGGGTACGCAACACGCCTCGTGTGTCCAACACATGCTTCGCCGAGATGGCCGACGTTTGGTTTCTCCCGAATACCGTTCCGCCAGCAAAGAGATAATCGGTTCGTCGTGTCGAGTCAGAATTCCACGTCATTGCGCCTTCTGTTTGGCCGCACATGCACGTGTTTTTTTACCTGTCGTGTGTTTATCGTGCCCCCTTGCTCACGGATTTTCCCACTTTTTCCCCGTCGTTTCTTCTTGTTGTTTTGTCCGTTTTTTTTACGGCCGTGTGTTCGCGGCCAGGATGGAGGTGGTTGTGATCGTGCGGGCCGACATGCCGGAGACCGCGGCGGGGACTAACGTGGTCGTGCGCTTGCCCATGCCAAGGAACGCCGTCAGCGTCAGCTCGGAGGTACTGATGATCGCGGCAGGTTTTTCTCTCGCACATGCCAGAGCCGTGTCCCCTGCCGTTTCAACGCGCAGTTCAGGAACGCGAAGCATCTTTTTCACCGCTGGTTGCTTTGTGCTTGATTGGGCGAGAGAAGGGCGGGGGGGCGGAGGGATGTACTCATGTCGACCCATCCCGTAGTCGTTGGACCATAGATAGATCTCGCATCCCGACAATGCCGGGACGGAGGGATATGCCGGGGTTTCGCCGGCCCAGGCTGTATAAAATACACGTTTCACAAGATTGACCCAGAAGGTGATAGTGTCATCATGCTTGCGTTTGCGAAGGACAGACGAGGGTAGGGGCAGATGGCGTCGGCAGCCGCCATGGCACACCACATGTGTTTTCTTTGACCCTGGCTCTGCTGCTGCTGCTGCTGCTGCTGCTGCTGCTGTTGTTGTTGTTGTTGTTGTTGTTGTTGTTGTTGTCTGTTTTTGCTTTGCAGGTGGAGTCGCGGGTCCCCGGGCAGACGGCGGAGTACAGCGCTAACGAGCACCGGGTGAGTGAGGCACCGGGTGGACTATCGAACGTGTTCGCCTCGTATCTGTCTTGCCACCTCTATCGATTGTCTGCACACCTGCCGTTTCCGGTGCACCATTTGCCGTGCTTGTGTGGTTTTGGTTCCTCCGATGTATATTTAGGTAGACATGCGTCGACTCGTGTATGCCTGCGTTTAACATGCATGCGTGTTGTGGCTGGCCTTGGTAGCCTGACGATTTCGTTTGCGTTTCGTGCAACGCAATAGGTGGTGTGGACGATCAAGAAATTCCAAGGGTCATCGGAGCTGACCCTGAGAGCCAAGGTCACGCTCCCGAACGTGGTCAACGCCGCCAACCGAAAAGAGGTGAGACCGGAGGATTGCCGGTCGATGAGTGCCCGTCCTCTCCGGTGGGTACCCTACTGCTTGGCATTAGTGGTAGGTCGGCGAAAGCAGGGGAGGCCCCCCCTCCCGAACGTACGGTGGAAGTGGTGAGGTGGCCCGAATGTTCGCCGCGCCTTTTTTTTCGCAGTAGGGAGGTCAAAGCTCTCCCTCCGACTGGTCGAATGGCCAAAGTCAGATTAACCTGGAATCGATAACCCTCCCGGCGTCCACTCTCCCGACGGCAAGAATGGATACGCGCTGTGCCTGTTGCTGCAGGGTTTATGTTGTCGTGGTGGCAGACTCGTGGTTGCGATGCCAGGGTTCATCCGCACTCGCCCTCCCGGCTGAAATGTGTGTGGTTACCACACGCGTCAATTGCCTCGTTTTGTCGTGGCCGTTCCTTGCAGGTCGGGCCGGTGTCGATGCAGTTCGAGATCCCCATGTACAACGTGAGCAACCTCCAAGTACGCTACCTCAAGATTGCCGAGTTCGCCAAGTCGTACAACCCTTTCCGGTGAGGCGGGCGTCGACCCAAGCCCGCGCAATAGCACCACCAACACCTTTGTCGAGCGCTGCTGCTAATAGCATCAAGAGTGGAAAAGAACCCTCGTCGCCCATGAGCAGACGAGTTTCAGGTTATCGGATTGATAGTTGGAGCCCGCGCAGCCCTCCCTTCCTGGAGTGATTTTTCGGTTTTCGCTTTGGGCAAAGCGTGCTGAACTCGCACCGGTTGGAAAGCTTGCGAGTCCTTCGGTTTGTGCTAGGTCCTCACCGGAGACGGGCTTGGGAATACCGCCGAGTTCTGCAGCAGTTTTTGCGGGAACGATTGTCGTGACAACAGCGCTCGTGTGTTGGGTTGTCGTGAGGGGTAGCGTGCGATCCACGGGCGTACGTGCCACTCGAAGCTCTAGCCCAGAGAGATAGGAACATTGTTTTCGGACATGAGACAAGCTGGTAAGCCACGGCGAGCGACTGCGCAGAGGGAAGCCACACGCGACCGGTCCGATGGTCGCACGCGTGGCAATATAGTCAAGACTAGACACACCGGGGGTGATGGTGATGGCGGCTGCAAGGCACACACAGCAGTTGTCCCAAGTCATGCCGTTGGTTGACAACCAACGTAGCGGGAGCACAAGAGTGCCACAAAAGCTTGTCGTAGGACCGAGCCGCTGTCCCTTTGCGCGTCAGCTTTTGCGTGATCGAGTTTGGCCAGGACTGGTCCTCCCCGCGCCCCTACCTCACCCCCCTTGCTTGCCATTCCATTGTGTCGTGCCCCTTCGCAGATGGGTCCGATACGTCACGCAGTCTTCGTCGTACGTTTGCCGAGTGTAGAAGAATGGTTCTCGAGACCTCGCCAGCGCGATGGCTCCGACTCTCTCTCGCGGAAAAAGAGGGCGAGGAAGGGCGACTACGAGGACGACGAGCGGATGCTGGCTGGAGTTGTTGGCCCAACAAGACGACAAGGCGGAGGATGATGGGAAAGACTCACGGAGGATTACTAGTCGTTGATTTCAGCGACTAAAATTACTTATGGGCGCACGTCGGAGTCTTCCCGAGAAGGCCTGAGGCGGGTTATTAAGCGTGTTTGGTGATGCTTATTACGTTCACACGGATTCGGTCAACTCCGCGACATGTGTGGCTCTCAAGATTGATAGATCCGTGCTGAGCTAGACTGTAGCATTCTAGCTCCGGACGAACATGATCCTCCGGGTGTTACGCATACGTCTGTGCGCTGGAGCCGGTGGGATCGGCGCGGGGCGGTGCTGCACTGTTCGCTCGGCCATCTTTCTTTGGGCACAGTTTTGTCGTCTGTTTTTGTTTTTCCACAAGGCCGTCTTCTTTGACGAGGGGGAACCTCCTTAAGGGTGTTCGCCCTGCCAGCACAAGATGCGCGGAAATCCTTTGAATGAGGCCTGTGAGCGATTCTCTGAACTCTGCCGACTGATCGTGATCACATCGAAAAATCTCCATCCCTTCCCGATTTTTTGTTGATCATCTCCTCAAAGCCGGAGCAGAAATCGAGTGGTTAATGCGCCCGCCGCCGCCGCCAGACCCGCTCCCGCTGCGCCCCCCTAGCGGCGGAAGAGTATTCGCGGAACTCCCGCCGGCGCTTCCCCCGCCCCTCGACCTCTTCCGGCTGAAAGTCGTCCCCGGTCCCGACCCGAACCCCCTAGCGGCTTCTAACTCCATGCTGGAGACGGACTTGAGCATCCTGCTGTCTTCTCTGCGGACCCAGCTCGTCCTTGAGGACGCATCTCCCATCAGCTTTAACGGAAGGCGTGCGTGCGGGGGGGGGGGGCGGGGGGGGGCGGGGGGGGGTATACTCATAGTCGTGCATGCCGTAGTCGTTTGACCATTGACCTCGCATCCCTACAAAGCCGGGACGGAGCACGCCGGGTTCTCACCGGACCAAGCTCTCACATCACCAAGCGCGAAGCACCGTGAGGTATTCGGCGAGTCGCATGAAGGGTGCGCTGCATCCTGCTAAGGGTGTTCGGCATCTTGTGCTTTCTCCCTTGCGTACGGATGACAGCTGCGTATGACTTACTTTATTTTCTGGTGCTTCCACCTCCAGAGACAGCTGTAAGCACTGTATAACTGCCTCGAGGATGCTTGACCATTTTAACACAACGTGGTGCGATCATCCCCCGTTGCGCGGAGTGAGGCTTCTCGACCCCGCACAACATGATCTACTCGACCCCCACTATGGCTACCGCAAAAGAAAAAAGAGGTAAAAAAAAAAACGGTAACAACCTGGTTGCCGAGTTCACGAAGTTAATTGGCTTGTTTTACAACGTCGTTGCCAAGCGACGAAAACCCAATCCCGATGGCGAACACCGGCCGGAGGGGTGGGGGGTGGGGGTTAAGAAGTGGAGCGGGCGGCGAGGAGAAGAGTGGTTCAAGAGACAAAACTGGCGTGGAGGGTTCGCGGCTTGCTCTCTGTACGTGGGGCTGTCGGTTTTTTCAGTGTCTTGGCAATGTCAAAAGTGTAGGCGGTAAATGTGATGGGCACGTATCGGTCACGCTCGAACATGCAAGTGCCCGAAGTTCTAGTCTACGTGTTATCGTTGTTGTGGTATGGACCACAATAAGCTCGTCGTCGCTGCTGACGGCCACTCTGCTCTCCCTGAACACGATACGGCTTCTTCATTTGACCTGCTCAAAGTCGCGTGCCTGTGTAGTGAGTAAAATATCGTAGGCTATTCCGGCGCCTGGTCCATCTTTTGTTGCTCAGTCTCTACAACGGATAATTTTGCATACTTCCTGGTATTTGTTTTTCGTGTGACCTACACTGACCACCGTGTGAAGTGCGAATGACGGGTGGGGTAACGCACCGAATTGTTGTCGCCTTTACATCGTCCGAGATGCTTACGCAACCGATCTCGCTCGGCTCGGCGCACGCTTAAGCTCTCCAGCAGAGCATCGTATCTGGGTACCATGATATCATGAACGAGGCAGCGACAACACAGAAATTCATTGGGGTGATCAAGCCGCCGATAGACCGGTGGTAGGTTGTAGTAGATCGCCACTGCCTTTTTGTCCCACTTTTTGACGCTTCTATGCATACGTTTCTCTCATCCCATACCATGCGGGGTCGTTGTTGCATTGTTGTGATCTTTATAACGCCGGTCTTTGCTCGTAGTACCTGCTAACATCCGTACCGGTCCAACAGATGCGAACGCGTTCCGTGGTAACAGGCCAACTACCACCAAAAGGGTACACACGTGTAAAAAATGCCGGAAGAAAAGAAGAGAAGAAAAAGTAATTATCGTAGAGAGAATCCAACATGGAGGCACGTTCTACAAGAATGCATGCAAATGCGTCGGCCCGTTCACCGCTTGGGGTACTGGCACATACGATGCCATGGAAAATGAGCACACCACGATGTTGCCTTGTATAAACCAAAAATCATAAGAACTCAGAAAATCATCACAAACGTGACAATAGAGAGCTCAAAGCAAACCGAAAGAGAAGCAGAGGCCCTAGCCAGGCAACAGTCAAAGTCATGCGTCTAGTGGCATATCGGGCAAAGAGAGGCATGCGCTTATAGTCTAGCTACATATATATGTTGTTGTAGATCGTGCAGTCCTTACAGTAGTGAATATCGTGAGCATCACATCGTGTATCCAGAATGCAGTAAGAACAAGCAGGATAGGCGTGGCACTCACTTCCTTGCTTCACTATTTATCTGACTGTCGATGTACCCCAGCTCCTGCCGATCCTTCTCGATTTGTTCGAGACAGGCCCTCTTCTTCGCTCCCATAGATCCCGCAAACGTATCCAGTTCCCGCACCTAACACGGAAGCAGCATGCCATACTTACAGCAAGTCTTTGAAATTAGCAACGCGTGCTCGGTGTAGTGTGCTTGTACCAGACAGCACTAATACAATGCACACACCCTTTCATGGCGACCTTTTGCAGCACATACCACAGCAGTGATGGCGCCTTTTATTCTATATCCTGATCCGAAATCGATACCTTTTACGTGCATGTTAAAATATTGCAAGTAGGTTGTCGTCGATGCCATCTACTTACCACGGCATGCAAGAGTTTCATGGTGGTAATAGGAGCGTCGAGTCGCCAACCCCCATTGCTCGCAACCATATCGCCCGACACAGGGGTGAAAGCGCACGAAACACACCTGTCGAGCGGCGTGAGTTGAAGGATCGCGGACAGTATACTCGGTCTGCTGCTGAAGGAGCGTTTTCCGCACGCTGCCGGTCAGCACTGGCTCCGATGGCACTGCAGTCGGAGGATTCATTTATCACATGCACCTTAATCCTCGACCGAGCCGCTGTTGTTGTAACATCCAACAATCGTTCTGGCTTCTGTCCAGTTTCTCCTCTTCCCTCTATTACTCTGCAAGGCAAAGGAACTGTACGTGCAGGACGAAGGCGGGCTTTGGCCGCGATGTCCACGTCACCGACAGATCGTGGCTCTCTCCGGTAAGGTTGCTGTTATTGTTGTTGTTGTCGTTGTTTTTGTTGTTGCTGTTGCTGCAGTTGCTGCTGCTGCTGCTGCTGCTGCTGCTGCTGCTGCTGCTGCTGTTGTTGTGCTCACATTAAATAACCGATCCCATCTCGCCTCAGTGCCCTCTAACCCTAACCCTAAGTGTTCTTTCGTCGTGTCGTCGAAACGTCGATCGATGTGTCAGTACCGTTACAAAAAGTGCCTCCCGAACTTGTTGGAAACCCAAGCAAGGTACCCCGTGGACACTGCCAGCGTCTGTCCCCCTCCAAGCACCTCAGCTTCGCACCGCTTCGCAGCTTCCAGCTTTGCACGGTACAACGGTACAAGCTGCATTTGCACCGCTGTATGCGTACGACGCACAATGTTTCGAAAGAAACAAGACGTGGCTGAGCGGAGCCGGAGCCTGCTCAAGAACAGCGCAGCGAAGAAGATAAAAGCGGAAATTGTTTCGGCGCTCCCTCTGCTGACTAAAGAGATCATCGATGAGCTGATGCCTAACAAGGTAGGAATGAAGTATCATGTTGCTTGTGTGAGGACCAGTAGGTTGTTGCAGTGACGGGAAAGGGTGGTGCACAACCTAGCCTCACTTGCTGCTATGCACGGGATAAGTGCAATGCTGCAAAATGTAGATGGACCGCACAGGACTTTGCGCAAGAAACCTGCTGTTGACTTTGTTATCTTTCCGCAAGCAGTCCCTCTGCGGCCTCTCTGGCTGCTGCTGCATGTATCGTAAGAACGGGGCGGTTTGCTCTTTCTTCACTTGCCGCATCGGTAGAAACGCCGGCGTTGTTTTCCTCTCCCCTGCCCACTCCCCCTTTTGGTTGCCAACCACAAAAGAACGCTTGTGGGTGTTGAAATACTATTGCTGGTACAGGTCGGTGCCTGTGTACCTACTGCTATATCTCACACAGAATCTCACTCGCTTGCCGGATCGCACGCGCCGCAGCCGAGAGCTGCCAAGCAGAACTTTACGGCACCAAAGCTTTTGCCCGGCTTAACTCAATTTCTTTTGGGTCGGTCGTACTTGTAGGACAACTGCTGCTCCCCGGCTCCTCCAATCACGAGAAGGAGAAGCAGGACCGATGACGAGTCGAATGGGGCGGGGGGTGCTCCTGTGTTTTGCATGCCTTAGGTGTTAGACCATTGACCCGCACGTCCTCGAGGGGACGGAGCATTGTTCCCACAGGACCGATCAAATATGACCAATCGTTCCGACGTGTCGAGCGGGGGCGGTATCTTTCGTCGAACCTATCGATTTAGGGTATGTGGTCGAACACGCAGGACAAAGCCCCCGTGTGTCCATCGCACACAAAGCCTAGCATGAAGATACCCCACCACACCCAACCCGGCCTATCGCTCCGTCCGGGCATTGTTCATAGGGATGCGAGGTCAACGGTCCAACGACTACGGCATGCGTTTACATGAGTACACCTCCCCTCTCACGGTTCCGGCTTCATTTCATCTCCTTAGGATGGCATAGAGGTGGTCAAGCTCGCCACCCGCGCCCTGGTGTACTTCCACGTCCCCACCAAGACCCCCCTCTTCTTCGACTCCGACGGCCGCAACAACCTCTTCCCCACCGTGTACGCCCTGTGGAGGGTCGGGCAATTGGCATCGACAACGCCAGGAGCGGCGGCGGCGGCGGCGGCGGGAGGCGGGGCGACGGCGGCGGGGACTGAGGCAGGCCGGTGTTGCCCTCCCCTCGTGGTCCACCCACCTGTCAGCAAGTTCCTTTTGAACGGAGCTGATGTCATGCTTCCAGGTAAACAAAACCCCCCGCGACGTGTACAGCAGTGGCTGCCGTGCATTCCGCCACTCTTTTTGTATGTGGCACGTGCATTGTCTCTTTGGTTTGCTCGTGCGTTATTGCTGCGAAACGTGTCCTTTGTAGATCGCCACTGACGTGGTATGTACATGACCGGTTCGGGAAATAGTCGCCCCACACGAGGCACCATGAACTCCGCTCTGTAGCCGCTTCGAAAGAACAGGGGGGGGTTGGGAAAAGGCGGAGGTGGTGTTTACGACAGCCAAGAACAAACATCGAAACAACGTACGATGTGTGTGTGTACTTGGTGCCGATTACTTGCCACCTTCTTTTCCGCGAGCAGGCGTCGTGGTACGGGATCTGGCCTCGGTGGACTACGTGATGGGGGAGAGGCGATGCGTCATGTCCAGCGGTAACCCCGAGCCGTACGCGGTACGTACGACTGCTGTGTAGACTTCTTGGTTGCACATATCGCAGAGTGCACTCGGGGCGTTTGTCGTAGCCTCTCGCTCTCCCTGATGGTAGCCTGTGCACGGGTGTGTGCGTATGAGATTCTGATTATCTCGCGCAAGGTTTCGCTCTCGCAACTGCAGCTGTCGTATGTGCCTTCCTTCTACGCGGTGCTAGCAGTGCGTGCGTTCGTTGGCGATACGTTCGCACTACGTGCTCGCCCCCCGCCCGAATCCTCCAAGCCCGATCTGCACGTTATCTCTGTTTCGGCTGGTCTGTCTTGGTACGTACGTGAGCGATGTGCTCTTTTGCCGGGCGGTGCCGTGTTGTGTTGGGCTGTGGCTACTCAGGTGGGGGAAATGATCAAGGACAGAGAGGGCGTGGTGCACGGAGGCATGACCGGGAAGGGGATGAAGGTGTGTACCTACCTGTCATGATCTGCGTGGCATGTGTATCTACAGTATGTTCACTCGTCGTTTCGAGGTGTATGCACTCAATTCTGTCTCGCACTGCTCTTGGGGGGTGAGAACCCTTGCGTGTGTTCGCGTCTACTGGAATGTCGTGATATATATTTTTTTGTTAAGATCACTGGCCGGCTGTTCGTAACCCGCCAGAGAAATGTTAATGGGTTGACAGTCTCTATTGATCCGACCCTGGGTGCTCGCATGGGATGTTAACAATTAACAATGAAGCAAACCTAGTGTTTGTGTATGACGAAGTTGTATTTTTTCTCTTGTTTTGATATCGGTACAGCAGTGGTGTTGCTTGTTGCTGTGTTCGAGCGTGGTGGCCATCGATTGGTCACCTATGGACATTTTTTGTTTTCGTCTTTCTTTTGCGGCACCTTGGGAAGTATTTCCATTTGTTGGGCGACAAGTTTGTGGCCCTGCCGTCGATATCGACCACACCCCCCGATCCTTTCCGTCGGTATCGGTGTCTGCCCTCTCTTTCGCCCTCCCCGTCTCTGTCCTTGTCCCTGTCCCTGACACCCTGGCGCAACTCCCTCCCTTCCACTGCCATTTATTTCTGCTCGTTCGTTCTTTCCTGCTTGCACCTCTTGCGTTGGATACCCCTGCTTGTTCTTGATTGGTTTGTTTATACGAAAGTGACGGTCTCGCCTTGCCCCGTCGTTGCAGGTTGTGCATTGCTACCTCGACTATCTGTGGCAGATGGGGTCTCAAACCCTGCCGAACGAAGGCTTTCGACCAGACGGGGTGAGAGGATGCGATGAAAGAAAAGTTTGAGACGATTGGGAGGGTGCGAGTCCACGCCTATCGGGCAGTCTCTCGGGTTACCGATGGGCTCCTTCCAACTACTGTAGCCCGTGGGTGACCCGGCAGAAGGAAGTTCGTGTGATTGGTTGCTCAAGCATCGTTGGTTGTGTCGCTTTTCCGTCGGGGTGGCTCGATTCGAGCCGAAGTCTCTCTGTGTCTTGGACATTCTGTTGGGAGCGCGCTTGCGGGAAGTTTTCCCGTGTGGAGTGTTGATCCTTTCCCTTCCGTGTTGCGCTGGTGGACACCACGGGTTTGTTCCTCCGAAACTCTAGCTCCATGACACAAGTCTTGTTGCCGCCTTCCCACCACGCCCGTCGATCCAAACGGATGGCACTCAGTACCGTACCACCCTCTTCGCGCGATATTGTCGTCGTCTCCGTGCCTGGCGTGTGCGTCCCAAGGTTTACCGATTACCGTCGGCAGGAACACCGATCTCGAACCAGGAGGAGCTCGTGGACGATGGAGAGGTTGCCGACGATTGGGAGGATTTGTCGGACCCCGCTGCAGCGGCTGGGGCTGCTGGGGGAGGGGGGAGTGGCGGCGGCAGCGACGAAAAACCAGCGGCGGCGGTAGAGGGGCTCGGGTTGGACGGAGTCTCGCTTGAGGACCCAATGGGGGAGGGGGAGGAGCAGGAGCAGGAAGCGGTGGAAGTGGTAAGCGAACGGCTGTACGCCGCGTTCCTGAACGGGCTGAAGAAGAGCCTCAAGGACGCGCAGCTGCCGATGCTGGTCAGCACGTTCTACTCGTCCGTGTTGCTGCCGTCGAGGCCACCGGGAACCTCGATCGACGTCAAGAAGACCAGCTACCGGAAGATTTCCAACTTCTTGCAGGAGATGGAAGGGAGGGGACTGGTCACCCTCGAGGTGCGGGTTCTGAACGCGAAAGTGGTTTTACTCGAAAGACCCCCAGACGAAGGCATTGATTTGCTGGGGAGACAAGGCTTGGTCTCACCAAGGCTATCACGGAGACTGAGACGCGAATCCCCGTGTCGTTCTCTTCATCCAACATATCACATTATACTATATCATCTACATACCATGCCATACACATTTTTTCCCACCGTCTCAGTTTTGGTGTGCTACTGGCAACCTTTAGACAGAGGTTGACGGCTGTAACGCACGACGTTTTGCGGCGTTTAGATAGAAATAGACGTAGTTATTGTTTGGCGGCATTGCCGCACGGCGTACTGCCGCGTTTTGGTGGAGTTGGAGATAGACTTCGATGGCATTACCGGCTAAAGTTTTTATTTTGGCGGCATTACCGCACCGTTGTCTGTCGCGTGTGGGTGAAGTTGGTGTTTGAGTTTGATGGCATTACCGGAGCCGGTTGAGCCGGTAATGCCGTCAAGCCCTATCTCCAACTCCACCCACACGCGGCAGCACGCCGTGCGGTACGGCCGTCAAACTCTATCTCATTCTCTATCTTATCGCGGCAATACGTCGTGCGTTACAGCCGTCAACCTTCATCGAAAGGTTGCCAATTACCCAGTAAACCTGAGAGGTTGAGTCAATGGTTGCCAGTGACCCACCAACGCTGAGAGGAGGGGGATGTGTAAAGCACGGTGGTATAATATGAATCATGTGATTCATTGGATGCAGAGTATGGCGAGGCCTTTGTGTCTCGGTCTTCCTGCCAGGCCATCTTTCTCAGGACCTGTGCCCCATGTCCAACCATCTTACTATGTCCTAGCACCCGGTGTTGCAGCAACGCATGCGCCGAGCGGCGCAACGTTTACCCGAGGCACATGATATTTATTATCTCGCACATATATCATGAATGAGGCTGAAGCGGGTGTGATGTACATGGTCTCTGCATGCACCCTCCACGAGCTACCGCAAGGGGCGGAGAGATGGCACCCACGTGCCCCCTCGACCGATTTTCAAAGCTCGATTGCTCCACAGCCAAGCTTGTACCAACACCAAACAATCATGGAAATATCTCATCGGGGGCTTTCCGGAGACGTATCCGGCTCTTCCCGCACCTCGCTGGTTGTTGGGCCGTCCAGCTTTGAAAGTCGGTCCACGGAAGCTGCCATCTCTTCGCCTCTTGCGGTAATTGCCTACGGTAGTGTTTTGAGTGGTAGACTGGTTATTGCGTCGGGGCAGCAAAAGGCGACCGCCCTTCTCGGCGCTTTTTCGCGTACCCCGGCCTCTGACCGGAGACTAAACTCCGCGCCTTACTCCCCGCGCATGGCGGGCCGCCGCTGCGCGGCGCTGCGCGGACCAGGTGACCAAGGGCGTGCAGTCGCTGGTGGGGGTGAACCGTGCCCATCCCGACCTCCGCGCGTTCAAGGTGAGCAATCACAGCAGCAGCAGCATCGCAGCGGTAGTAGCTTACAGCAATGGTCTGCGTGTCTGCGCTCGTCGACGCGTGCGTGCGGGCCGCTGGTATATTCTCTCTCAAGCGCATTCATCCTTCCAACGCTTTGCTCTGTGACGAGTGCTGCAGACTGAGCGGGGAGGGCAGGAAGAACCGGTAAGACCTCGGATGACGATTTTCCGGCATCAACAACGGGCACGCGTGCTTAGCAACAGCAGCTACACGGCCGTGTACTTGATGGATTGACGGAGGGCTGGTGTTGTGTTTTTGTGTTTGTCGTTTTTGGCAGGCCACCACCGTCACGGCGGCGGCTCAGGCTGCGGCGGACGCGGCCGCGCTTGCCGCGGCCGAGGCGGGGGGCGGAGGAGCGACGGCGGCGGCGACGGCGGCGGCGGGTGACGGAGAGACGTCCCTGAAAGCTTTCGAGCTGTTCAAGCTTTCCCACAACATCAAGAAGATGCTCGGTGAGCAGAAGAAGGGCGGGGACTCTTTCACTTTTCTCGACCTTTTTTGCTATGCGTTGCGTGTTGAGAAACGCCGGTGTTGGACTCACGGCACGGCCTGCCTGCTAAGCGTGCCAGCGTGCGCAGCGCAACGAGCGACGAAGGGACTTGTTCAGGGTTGCACCCGGTGAGGCGAGACTCCAATCGTGTCGACGCGATGACATATCTCGCTTGAGTACAACAGCAGGGTTCCCGGCGCATGGTCATTTTTTGTGATACACTGCCGTGCTGCTCATGGGAAGCAGGCAGTAGTAAGACGTGGCCAGCCGCGAGCCGAATGTAGCAGTTCTCGCCCCCCCCCGGCAGGGTTTCTCGTGCTGCTTTCCGAGCGGCTGAGTTTTGTGCGTGCTGGCATGCTGGTGTGTGTACTTTCATTTTTGTTGTTGTTTTGGTTTGGCGCTTTTCCGACTGATATCTAGGGAGCGACGCGGCTTCGGCGAGAGGGAAGTTCGGCGAGTACCTTACCCCAGCAGAGGCTCGAGACGTCCTTTTCGGGTACATCAGGGCGGAGGGCCTCGACCACCCGACGGTAAGAGGCAGAGAGGGGGGGAGAGAGAGAGAGAAAGAGAGAGAGAGAGAGAGAGAGAGAGAGAGAGACAGAGAGAGACAGAGACAGAGCGACAGAGAGACAGACAGAGACAGACAGAGACAGACAGAGACAGAGACAGAGACAGAGACAGAGACAGAGACAGAGACAGAGACACAGAGAGGGGGGTTGACGTGTCTGTCAGTTTTTTTGTTGAATTTTGCTGGAGTTGAAAAGCGATACGGTTGCTTGGATGCCGCATCTTTTGGAGCCCCCCTGTCGTTGGTCATTTTTCCTGTCTTGGCTGTGGCTGCTTGCGACTCAGTACGCCATCCGCACCCCTCCACGCTGCGTTTCTCTACCCCCCCGCGCTGCCGTGTGTTTGTTGCAACTAGAACAAGTCGCTTGTCGTCCTGAACGGCCCTCTGTGCGACAACCTCTACAAGCCTATGAACAAGAAGGCCGCAAGAGTGGAGTACCCTACGGAGGTGACAAGGCGGTGGTGTTGGTTGGATGCAGTTTCGCGTGGGAGGGCTGGTCGTCGGGTAGGGTTTCGTCAGGTTAGGCGGAAGGAGACGGCGCGCCCTCAGGCAGAGGGTTGTCAAAAGTCGTCCGAAACACTTGCTTGTTTGCTGCTTCTGTTGCGAGGGTCGCACACCCACGTGGGTTCCCAAGAGAACATGCGACGAAACGGCGCCACCGAGGTACAATACACCGGAAGCATGCATGTTTGTGCTCATCGACGATGATGCTTCCCCCTGGCTCGATGGCGGTGGTTGGCCGCCGCCCTCGCCGCATCCGCCATCCTCTCACAACCACTACTGTCGTTACCAATATCGAACCAGGCCAAGAAGGCCGAGCTACCGCGCCGGTTCCTCGACCGACTGCAGCTGCACCATGCCATCCTCTTGCCGGGAAACCCGCACCCGTTCGTCGGAAGAGGAGGGATCCCGTCCGTGTCGATAGAAGTGGAGAAGCGACAAGGCAACAGGTTTGTTGACAGCACAAGCTAGTAGCCTTAGGGTTCGTGGTATGGTCCTCCTTCTCGGACAGTTTTGTTTTTCTTTGCAAGCTAGTGTTCGTTTCACTGCCGGAAGGCATCGCATAAAAGTTTTCACACCACCGTAGTATGTTGTTGTTGTTGTTGTTGTTGTTGTTGTTGTTGTTGTTGTTGTTGTTGTTGTTGTTGTTGTTGTTGTTGTTGTTGTTGTTGTTGCTGTTGTTGTTGTTGTGGTCCCCATTTCCTCCTGCCCCCAGTCTTCGGGAGCGCGCGCAAGGGTCCCCATTTCCTCCTGCCCCCAGTCTTCGTCCTTCGGCAGCGCATGCGAAACATCCTTTCTCTCGCTCACCATTCATGCGTCAACTTTCCTCTGTTGCTCCGTCGGTGTTATTTGTTATCCGGTGGTGTTTGAACTGTATGTGCGGTGCTGTTCTCGTTTCGTGTCCCCCATCACGGAAGGCATGCGACCAAGGTGAGGGGGCTGGAGGCGTATGGCATCGACCCCTCCACGCTCGGGCGTCAAGTCCAGAAGCGCTTCGCGTGCAGCACGGCAGCGCAGCCGGCGCCGGTAAGCTGTTGTGGGCAGTTCTGTCCGCTGGTAGATGGCAGGAGGAATCTCTCGTATGCTGGCGCTTTCAGTGTTCCTTGACTATTTTTGGCAGCCGGTGTTGTTGGCAACAGTGCCACAGATGGTGCTGCTTGCCCGCAGGACGATTTTGTCCGCGAAACACTTGATTCTGTTCTTATATCTCAATTCCCTCCGCTTTCTCGAAGCTTTGATGTGCAGTTCACACGGTCGCCCTTGGCTTTGGCGGAAGAAGCGTGCGTTTCGGGATTTGCTTTTTCGCATAGGGTTGACGTGAAAGGCGATGGTATTTACCCTTCACGGAACTTTCGATGGGACATTCACATCACCGGGGCTCGGAACTTTGGCCGCCATAGTCCTGTAGTACCGTGCCTTGCTTCGCACTACAAGTATGGCGGCCTTGCTTCGCACATCTGTTCATCTATCAATCTGTGTGCCCCTTGCCGTATCTCCCACTACTCTGTCCGTCGATGTCACTCGAAATATTTGCCGGTGGTACAATGAAACAGGGCACGAACGGGAAGTACCAAGAGCTGATGCTGCAGGGACACCTGGCGTCCGAGCTAGAGGACCTGCTGTCGGAGGAGATGGGCATCCCGCGGCGGTTCTTAACCACCGGCTTCTCTAAGGGCGCCAAGCCGAGGAAGGCACGGTGATGACGATGGTTGGTGATGTCGATGATGTCGACCCGTTGTGAAGTGGAGTATTGTAGAATTATGAAGCCCTCCTTTTATGGATACATCTATGGATGGATACGCCGGAGAAGCTAGGATATCGCACGTGTCCTCCCGGAGCTGCGCCTCTTTTTCATCGTGGATCTTGGGGTATTTTCTGGGACACCCCCAGGGCATCAAGCCTTCGTTTGGCTCTGCGGCGGGCGCTAGGCGATGATGCCATGGGGCGGGTTTCCGGTGCTCTTGTCGGTCGACGCTCCGAGGCCATAGTTCCAGCAATCAACAGCAGTGCGACGGCTTCTTTCTCCGTCCTTCGGCTTGCCGACGACATGCATGCGAAATGCATCCGCATCATCATCAGCCGGCAGGAAGGATGTGCGCGATTGAAACGTTTCACTTCCGACAATGCAGCACGATATGAAGATGGGACGGCCACGGCATCAGCATGTGCAAGCGTGGCGTGGTGACTCTACACACGGTCTCTGACACAGCGTTCGCCGCATTTCTGGCACGAAATAGCGAGGGTGGTTACTTGTACTTGTTGTATCTACCACGGTGAATCAGATGAAGTTGACGGCCTGTGCGTGTGCCGAAGGGGTGGGCGTGAAGTAAAACCCTGCGCGGTTGCGCCTGCCTTTTGGTGTGCCATTGCTCTCACCGTGGTGAGGAAACAGGAGTTTTTTTGTTGTGGCCATCGCCTGTTGTCCTCCGCGGATGGATGTTTGGCCATCTAAGGGTTCATCACGTAGTAACAAACATGCAAGAGGGCTGCCAGAGGCTTCGTTCACGCAGGCTCGATACGAATGGTCATAGGCCGAGCAAGCTGGTTGAACACAGATGGGAGGCGACCCAAGGTCAACGTGCTACTTTCGAGGCTTCCTCTGCTCACCACATGGCGTGTGTGATCATCCCTCACATTAGTTGGCAACAAACACAGCAAGCGGTGGTTGCAACAAGGACAGGACAATGTCTTGTTTTTCTCTCTGTTCCCTGAAGCTTTTTCGTTTGGTGAAGTGAATACCGTAGCTTGCTTTGGTCACAGCTCCACCTGAAGGTGCCCACGTACGTGTGGTGCCTCCCCCCCCTCAAAAGCAAACAGCGCCACGAATTGCAGCGACAGTAGCTGAATGAATCCCTGTGCGATATTTTACTCGGGAAATTAAAACAAGAAGCGAAAGGATTCGGTTCCTCCCCTCTAGCTTCAGTGGTGCTTTCGCGATGAACAAGCCTTCGATTTCCACAAACACGACCTCGAATGAAGTTGACAATATCCGAACTGACTTTCGTACTCGGCGCTACAAGCACTCGCTGACTGCATGCAGTACAACGAGAGACAAGGGCGTCAGTCATCTTCCCTCTCTACGGTATGTGTGTAAACCTTGCGCGAACATGCCCTAGGGCGGGTTCCGAGCTAAAGCCGGCTATTTTTCACGAGTGTTTCAGAATGCGGCCAGGAATGAGTTTCTATGTCTGAAATTCTGCACACGTTTCCGTTAGGTCACGGGGATCACGAAAATATACTTTTTTTTTATTTGGCCATCATGGTGCTAACTAAGTTACTTACGAATAAGTGGGGAAAATTGAGGGAAAATCGCCTCCGCGGCCCCCCCCCGAGGAAAATTCAAGCCCGTCCGAATCTTATGAAATTTTCAGGTTAAGGTAATTTTGGGGTGCAGATCACGAATGAATCCATCTTCTGAATTTTGATCGGAATCGATGTGACGTTGACACAGCTGCGCACTGATACATGCAAAAAGCGGGCATAATCCGGTATTTACTAGGGAATAGAGTGAAAAATTCCCTCCCGCAGAAAGCGATCCTCACGTTGATTAGAGCTCTGTAGATTTCGACCTGGGGTAATTTTAGGGTGGGGAACACGAATATGTCATCAGAATGTCCCCGTTTGGCTTTGCAAACGACTTACAGCTGCCCAAAAGCTGACTTTAGCTGAGCAATTTCAACTATCCTGGGATTTTGGACTCTCGGCTTCCCACGACCAGTTTTTGTCTGAACAACTTTCTGAGTGGCTCTACCCCCCCTAACTCGACCAAGAGGAAGCGATTTCCGCCGAGTTCTCAGAGCTCAAACATCAAGAATGCGGAGAAAAAACAACTTCAGGCCGAGTTCAGGCCGAAGGAGAACTTTTTTTTTTTATCTTTTACTTATTTTTGGGCGTTTCAAGTCGATCGACGAAGTCGTTTTTTTTTGTTCCGCGGGTGGGAACGGGCTGGCGTCTTTAGCTCGGAACCCGCCCTGAGACGACACTGCACAAGCAAAGGTCCTTCGGATGTCATCCTTGTTCTCGCCCCCAAACTCCTCGATCCAACGAAAAGCACCACCTCTCAGTTTCAATATGTACCTCTGGGTACGGTGTTCATCTTTCGTTGCTATCTGGCAGGCTGAGCGTCAATAACATGAATGAATACATCCATCCTTGGGTCCGGGGGCCGGTGTACACCATGATAAGACGAAACGTTTGTGTCAACGACACCGCCACCAAGAGCCAATGAATACATCCTTGGGTCCGGGGGCCGGTGTACACCATGATGATGAGATGATGAGACGAAACGTTTGTGTCAACGACACCGCCACCAAGAGCCAGTTATTATTGTTATTGTAGGTTTGTTTTTGTGTTCGTTGTTTTTCTTCGTACAGGAGTTCACTGGCTCTTTTGCGGCCTCAATTACATGGATACGTTCGTGGGTTCCGGGGGCCGCCGTAGATCATGAGACGAAGCATTCGTTCGTGTCAACAACACTGAAGACCTAAAAGAAGAGCCGTTTAAGGTTTGTTTGTGTTCTTTCTGTGTTTCTCCGTAAGCACTGGCTCTCTGTCGGGTTTTCCGACGGCTGAACAATATGAATCCGATGTTTCTTTCGTGGAATCTGAAGTATTTTTTTGTGGTTCATGAACGCGGCAACATATTATTAACGGGTCTGAGTTTTGGCTGCACCAGAAGCGACTGCTTATGCTTCACACAATGGGTGCATTGCTATGCCGAGTTGTACATGAGGGGTTGTCCCAGCCGTGCTCCAGATACGTTGGAGAAGGTATCTAGGAGCCCGCTTTCTTATGCTTCACACAATGGGTGCATTGCTATGCCGAGTTGTACATGAGGGGTTGTCCCAGCCGTGCTCCAGATACGTTGGAGAAGGTATCTAGGAGCCCGCTTTCTCTTTCGACAACAACACCGCGGCGCACGAAGATTATATGCACCTCCTACAGGCAGGCGTCCTGCAGCGCGCCCAATGAATCTATGAATATCTTTGGTCCCTTCGTCCTGCTGGGCAAGAAACATAGTTTAAGCCTTTCTTTCGCTGCGTATGATTCGCACCTAGCCGGTGCTGTCTAGCTCTGCAACCCCTACATGAAGGGGCAGTGGTTGTCTGCGATGGTTCGTACGCATCTTCTGCGCAATATGTACGACGCTGTGAGAGTGGTGTGTGAAGGATTGCGGGCTTCACTACGTGAACCATGGTGAATGAAATCAACCGTGGAAAAAGTAAATCTTTGATTCCTTCTAGAAATCAATCGCCGACGCACACGCCCTTCCTGTTGCTCTCCGAACACACACTATCCACATCTACCTCTCTTGCTCTCTCTCCCTTTCTCTCTCACACACCCGCCCGCTACGGCGTTGGAGGGTGTGCTTGACCTTCCACCCGCCCGCTACGGCGTTGGAGGGTGTGCTTGACCTTCTGGGGGGCTGGTGATAGTGTTTAGTCACACACATCGTCTTCACATACACTTCGTGTGGGAACAGATCTCCATCTCGCAAGACGTGCGAGAGAGCGGGTGCGCGTCCGCATCATGGATCCCCAGCCGAATCGTAAGCTTCTCGACAAGCTCCTACGGTCGGGCGACATCAAGAGAGAGAATCGCGACCTCATGAACGTCCGAGCTGCTTCGCGCTTCGTCCATGGGGTCCGTGGCCACGATGACCCAACCGACGTTCTCTTCCGGCTTGATCAGAAGGACCCACACCTCATTCGGACCATTTTCACTCTTCACTCCTCCAACGACTTCATGGATCGCGTGGTCATGCCCTTCATCGCCTGGCTGGGCAAAGATGAACTCTCCATCGGTACTTGCAGCTTCAAACAGCAGCTGATATGCAACAGGCTGGCGCGCGCTCCCGGCCTGCTGGACAACTTGCTGGAAGCCTTGAACTGCGACGAGATCTCGAACGAAATGGCTCTCTTGTGGTTTGTCGAGAGGCTGATTCTCGACGACGGTCAGGACGGAGTAGCCGCGAGATCCAGCAGCAGCAAGGAATCCGCGCTCGTCAACCGTTTGAAGCGGAGCATGTCGCCCACCGTCAAGGCCCAGGCGCAAAAGCTGCTGAAGGTTTTGTCCGATCCGTCTGAGGTGGACAAGCGAAACGCTGAAATTGCCGCCACCGGAGGGGGCATGTCCATCGAGGCCACCCAAGAATCCTCGCCGGGAGGGCGGCACTCCAACGACCATGTGGATTTCCGCTCCATCACGATCGTGCCGAGTGTGGATGAGGTTCTCTGCGACAAGATCCCATTCCTGCCGACCGAGATGGAGCGTGACGTCCCACACCTCGATCGGCAGTTTCGCCTGTTGCGCCACGATTTGGTTTCGAGCGTCGTCGATGCTGTGACTCCACTGAAAACGCTTCGAGCCGGTGCGGGAGAAACGAAGGGCTCTGGAAAGGCCAAAGGCGGCGAAGGGGGAGGGCGAACCCCATTAATATTGGAACAAACAAGGCGCGGCGCCATCGTAGCAGACAAAGGGGGGCGCGCGGCCGCAGTGCTGATACATTTCGACTGGCCGTCTTCACACCCCGTGTCTCGCATGAAAACTTCCAAAAAAAGGATGGACTATTTGCAGCAGACCAAGGGCGGGCGAGGAGGCGGTGGCACCGGCGGCGGCGGCGGCGGCGGCGCCGGGCGCAACTTGCTGAAGAGGGATTCGTTGGTGGTGCTGACCAACAAGAACCTGAAGCCTCTCTTTTTCGCGGCCGTCACGATCAGGGACGAGGGACTGCTCGCTGGAGGTGGCGATGGCGGTGGGGCGAACTGGGGCGGTGGCGGCGCCGGTGGCAACAACAACGGTGGGGGTTTCGGTGGTCGGGGTACCTCGGGTCGAGGTCGCGGGGGAGGCGGCCGTCTTTCGAACGGTCGTGGAAGGGGCGGCCGTGGTGGTAGGGGCGCCGGTGGCCACGGCGGAACCGGAGGCGAAACCGGCGGGAGCCGCGGCGGAACCTGGAGGGAGCGGCAGGAGGCGCGCCCGGCGGTGGGGGTCTCGTTCTTCAACCACAAGGATCTGGAATCGGCCCTGCTTCTCTCGAGGGACGACTCCTGGGGCTGTCTCGTGCCCCTTACCGTCGGCGTCTTCGCGTACAAGTCTGTGCTGAAGCAGCTGCAGGCCATGGCCGAAGTCCCGATGGCGAACCTGCTCGTGGATTGGCCCGCCGCTCACACGTTGTCGAAGCCCGGCAGCAGCCGCCTTGAGAGCCTTGCCGGGAGTCCATGGAAATCCATGACGGGCGGCGCTTCGTCCGCCGCCCCGCCGCCTGAATCCCCGCAGCCGCCGCTGTACGAGGGTGTGGAAGCCGCGGAGATGGAGGGACTCGCCGAGCGCTTCGCCGCTAGCACGGACGATCTCAAGAACCGGACGCCGCTGTTGCTGTCGCCGCCGCTCGTGGGAGTGAAACTGCCTACCGGGTGCCGGTTCGACATTTCTCAGCGGGTGGCGGTGGCCCAGGTGTTGCGGCAGAGAGTTAGCCTTGTTCAGGGACCTCCAGGTAATCGTTTTGGCGAGGAATGTTCTTTATCGGGAAGTTTGTTTGTCGGTTGGATGCGTACCTCAATGAGTTCTTTGTTGTTAATCGATTTTTTTCTTTCTGGCTGGGCCCATCTGTCATGGACAGCTGGGCGTTGAAACGTTGAGAACTTTTAGAAACTGCATGTTCTCAAATAATTTTTCTGGAACGTTTTTTTCAGGGTTACTCACGGAGTAGAACCGCTCCGCGGAGCGTTTTTTTTTTTTTTAGTTTCACGGAGCGGTGCGGAGCGTTTTTTTATATTTGAAAATATCACGGAGCGGTGCGGAGCGGTTTATCCGAGGGCAATAGTCTCACGGAGCGGAGCGGTTTTTTTTCTGGTGTCACTGAGCTGTGTGGAGCGGTTAATCCGTAGTGCGGTTATTTTCACGGAGCGGTTTTGTATACTCCGTAGCATAAACCGAGCAAAACCGTGTCCTTGAGGACAATTATCCGTCAGAAAAAACCGTCAAAACCGCACGGACATCCGTACAAAATCGACGGAGTACCTGCAATTTCTTCAAAAACGTCGGGTTTCGTACACCGAAAAACGACTTTTCCACACGGTGTGCTGTGGTTGGAGGCCGCCGGTGACACCGTATGCGTCCTCGTCGCTAGGACAGCCCAAACAGACCAAAAAAATCGCCCAAACAGCTGAAGTTGAGACCAGAGTCACCAACAAAGACCAAGCCGGAACTTCCTCACGCCCCTGAAATATTATCTCCCCCCCACTGCATCTCCCCCTCACGCCACTTTCCCTCCCCCAGGCACGGGCAAGACGTTCCTCGGCGTGCTGCTGGCGCAGATCATCCTGGCGTCGACGGACCAGAAGATCGTGTGCGTCTGCTACACCAACCACGCCCTCGACTCCTTCCTCGAGGACCTCCTGGACAAGGGGGTCACCGAACTGGTGCGCATCGGCGGCGGCAGCAAGAACGCCAAGCTGGACCGGTACCAGCTGCGGAGCCACCAGGCCCAGGGCTTCAACCGGGTGCAGAACCGGCAATTCGCGATCCTCAAGGAGGCATTGGAAGAGTCGCAGGCCCGGATCGACGAGGTCCAGAAGACGAGCGGGCTCAACCGTAAGCCCGACAAGATGTACGTCGTGGCGTGGCTGGAGGACGAGGACTCCGAGGCCTTCCAGGAGCTCCAGATGCCGGAGGGCGGTGATGGAGAAACGGTCGTCGGCAGGAGGGTGAGAGGGTTCCAAAGATGTCAATTGATCTGTGGTCGTTCGTGGTCAACGGGTATCCTCGTCGCCGCTGCTGCGCCCAGCGAATGTTGTGTTTATATTTAATGTTCTCCGTGAAGTTGACTAGCGCTCCGTTAGCGTTTTCTCAGGGACCGACTTTCCCATTAAACGGGTAGCTTGTTCACGCCTTCCTTCTTCGGCCATCACAAAAACTGTGTCGAGAACTTGAAAAAAATTCACTCCATTTCAAGAGGTGCCACCATGCGCGGTCCTGGAGGGACGAGTCCCACGCGAAAAACTCGACGAACACAATCGCCCGACTCCTTTGTAGAATACCAACCGTTTTCTCAACGGTACACCGCGATGCCCCAATATCACTTCACTTGCAGGGCCAAGCCCTCACGAGCGCGTCTATCGTCCGCACGTGGCTGGACGGGAAGCAGAAGCCCTCCGCCCTCCTGCAGCAGCCAACAAACACCACGTCGTCAGACTCCGGCGGTGGCGACGGCAGCATCAACAGCAAGCGGCTGTCGACCGGCGGCATATGGGCGTTGGACAAGAACGCCCGCAAGGCCAGGTGGGCCGGGTGGGAGGCCGCCATCAAGGCGGAGGTGGCCAAGAAGGTGGCCAAGAAGGTCAAGGCCCACGACAGGCTAGCGCGGGAGCTCTCCGAGCTCCAGCGCCAGAAGGACGTGCAGCGCGTGCGGGCGGCGCGGGTAGTCGGCTGCACGACGACGGGGGCGGCCATTCACCATTCGCTGCTGGCGGAGGCGCGGTGCGGGGTGGTGCTGGTCGAGGAGGCGGCCGAGGTCCTGGAGGCGCACGTCCTGGCCGCGCTCGGGGACTCCACCAAGCACCTCATCATGATCGGTGAGGGGTCCTTTCGTGGGTCACGTTTGCGTTGTTGTTGTCGTTGGTGGTCGTAGGTGTATTGTTGTTGTTGTTGTTGTTGTATTTTTTCTTCATCTTCTCCTCGGTTTTCTAGTGTTGTTGGTGCGCGGTGTTGTCTTGTTCTTGTTGCTGAGGCGGAAGCTGGTACCGCCGGCGTTGTTCTGCGCTTTCGTCTCGTACATCGTAGACCTCGCTCGCCGCGGACGCCCTCGCAAGACTAACTCCAGGTTCTTACGCCTCGGCGGAAACTGCGCAGTTTGCCCACACGACGGCAAATATCCCGCCCCGTTTTGACCGACTGCTTCTTCCGCCTCCTCTCTGTCCTTCCCTATGTAAACCACCTAGGCGACCACAAGCAGCTGAGGCCCAAGGTGGAGCAATACAGCCTGAGGGTTGAGAGCGGGAGGGGGTTCGACCTGAACGTCAGCCTGTTCGAGAGGCTCGTCAAGGCCGGGTACCCGCATACGACGCTAGAACTGCAGCACCGGATGCCGCCCGAGGTGAGGCGATCGACCGGGCTGGCTGTGTGTTTTCAGATGCCAAGTGCTGAAGATGCTCATTGTCATCGTAGGGGGTTCCAGGATTAGGAGTCTTAATGGCACGAGGGGGGGTTCGATGCCGCTCGCCGTTTCTGATCTGTGTTACCTGTCGATGGCGGGTTGTGCCCTGTTGAGGATATCTGACCGACGATTGCATGAACCCCGATCGAGCCCTCCAGATACATGTGTTGTTGCAACAATGAAGTCTCTTGTGGGCCAAGTCAAAAGTATTCCTCGCCACGTGATCTCATCGGCGAAGGTGCGTGTGTTCGAAAACTGTTCTTCTGCGCGCAATACGTTGGGGGGATGCGCTTGCCCGGCACCAACAACAGCAACAGACACAACCTAGACAACCTCCCCCCCCCCGCCCCTTGCCTACCGACATCACGCGCGCACCCTAGATCTCTGCGCTGGTCAAGGGACTCACTTACCCGGGGCTACGCGACGGGCCCGGGACAGCCAATCGTCCACACGTCCTAGGTATCCGTGACCGCGTGTGCTTCGTCGGTCACCACCACAACGAGGAGTCGGCGGCTTCGATGCGCCAGCGCCAAGACGACGGGGTGTCGGTGTCCAAGGTCAACGGGTACGAGGTCCGGATGGTGGCGAAGACCGTCAAGTACTTGCTGCTGCAGGGGTACGAGCCGGACCAGGTGCGTGGATTATCGCATCGATTATTGCGCGGTCTGGCTGAATGATCGCAGCTAATGCGTAGTCTGGTAGTAGCAGCAGCAGCGATCGTATGGTGGTTGTTGTTGTTGCTTTCTTCACAATTCTGTTCATCCCGTGCCCCAGGAGTAATGCTGTCGCGCAACTAAAAACCGTTCCGATCTCTCTGCCCAGAAGTGGTTGCAGTGTAGGAGAAAACAGTAGAGTGAGAAGACCAGGTTCATTCGTTGGCTAGCCAGCCGCTTTGTTGTCCAAATAGGGTTGTTTTTCCTGCCCACGTGCGAACACGTTCTGCTGGCCTTGTTTCTTTCGCTATCGTTCTGGAACGTCCGGTGAAGAGGGTGATCTTGTTGCTTCTCCCGCTTGACTCTGCCTGTTGCAGATCGTCGTGCTGACGCCGTACCTCGCTCAGCTCCGGGAGCTACGGGATGCGATGGACGGCACTGTGAGCGACCAGGACGCCTCCGATCTCGCGGCGGCTATCCGGCTGGGCGACGGCACCAACGAGCAAGGAGATGGAAAGGGCGGCGGCGGCAACGGCGGCGGCGGCGGCTCTGCTAATGCGAGGTCGAGAGTCAGGGTGGCAACGGGTGAGGGGTTTCGTGTGGTGATTTCTAGAAAACTTTTCCAGTAGTCGTGTTCGGCGTGGGGTCAAAAAGCTCTGTTTGTTTTTTGCAAAGGACTGCCGCGTGTTGGAGGTTTCTCTCGCCCTTCTTTCGTTACGCAGATCTCTGGGAGTTGCTCCGAAACGATCCCTTCGCTACCCAGAATAATATCGTTCCTGGAATAGAGGGAAGGGAAAACCCAGGGACGTACGAAAGTGGAGCCCGTGGCCTCACTCCCTTCTTGCGCTGTTTTCTTTTTCTCCTTCTCTGACGCCACCATGGAATACAGTCGACAATTATCAGGGCGAGGAGAGCGATGTCATCATCAGTTCGTTCGTGCGCAGCAACAGCGGCGGGCAGATGGGGTTCGTCGGAGACCCGAACAGGCTCAACGTCGCCATCTCTCGAGCGAGGTGTGTCGTTGTGTTGGTGTGGTCGTGCCCAAGTGCTTCAACAGCACGTAAGCCCGCCAGCGGTAGGCGCGCCTTCGTCGCGTAGTCCGTGCTTGTCTTTAGAACTATGCAGCGGCACCTCCTCATTTCGAACTACAACAGTGCAGCTGAACAGTGGTGGTTCAGTCCGTGAGCATGACTCCTTGAAAACCCTATGCATCTCACAGAACCCCCACCAGCCTGGCTCTGTGAAAGCGCTCAACATGGCCGACAACGTGCTTATACCCCGACACCCCCCTCCTCACGCGAAACCAACCCCCCCTCTTAGGCACGGCATGATCATGTTCGGCGACATCAACTTCTTCACGTCAGACTCCATCAGGAACAAGCCCGGCCAGCGCCTGTGGCTCGAGTTCTTGTCGCTCCTCGAGGCCGGGGGCCACGTCTACAGGGACGGGCTGCCGGTAGCCTGTGAGGCCCACAAGACGCGCGCGAACCTGATCACTCCCGAGGCCTTCGATGAGCACTGCCCCGATGGAGGCTGCCAGGCTGTCTGCGGCGCGAAGCTTTCCTGCGGTCATCCGTGCCCGCGAAGGTGAGGGGAGGGGGGGGAGCAAGGGCGTCGCTCGTCAGGTGTACAAGCCTTTAGGGTAGCGTGTTGCCGCGAAGCTATTTTGATCGGTAGAAGGCAGGACGGTGATGCTCACGTGTAGTGTACGAAATGAGAGGAGGAGGGCTACCGCACGCGCGGGCGTTGGCGTTGGTGTTGCACCTTCATCGTCGGTACAGGGTGCATCAGAATGTATTTGCGAATGTGTCGCGAGAGTTGCTTCACGTGTAACGCCTAGTTTTTTCCCTAGCACTTCGTATATGTGGTAGCAACGAGCGCGTTGTGGTGCTGGGTTCCTTCGTGCGTCGTGGGAACAAATTTACAGCAACAAGCTTCGCGCTTCGTCGACAGAGCCCCCAACCGAACAGGATCACGGAGCCCCCCCCCCCACCTCCACCCACGTGTAACTTCTTCGTGCGTCCCCTATCTCTCTCTACCGGCGGTGTCGTATTCCCCAACAACGCCGCCAGGTGTCACCCCGGAGACGACCAGGACCACGAGGGCGCCTCCTGCGCGGTGCTCCTAGAGGAGACCTGCCCCAAGGGACACAAGTCGAAGCGCCGCTGCTCCAAGGACCCCGCGGGGCTCCCCTGCCGGCCGTGCGAGCGCGAGGCACGCGCAGTGGACCGCGAGATCGCCCGCCACGCCGAAGCTAAGGTGGCCAGGGAGAGGGAGCGGGAGGCGGCCACCGCCCGGCTGGCCGAGGCCCGGAGGGGTGCCGCCCAGGAGCGCGAGAAGCTGGCCCACGAGGCCGAGCTGCTGCGGCTGGAGCGGGAGACGCAGCGGGCAGTGGTCGACGCCGAGAGGACACGGTTCTCCAAGGACAGCGCTCGCGCCGAGCTAGAGCGGGCTCGAGCTGCTCCTGCTGCTGCTGCTGCTGCTCCGGTTCGCGATGGAAAAGCGGCCGCCGCCTCTTCAACCCAGAAGGCCGCCGGGAAGAAGAACCGAAGGTCGGTGGCGGCCGCAAAGGCTACGAAGACTGGCAAGACCAAGCAGGAGACGACGACGGCCGCCCCTCGGGGATTCACCCTCTTCCTCATCGCCCAGGCGGCGGCGAACGGGAGCGCCAGCGGCATCATCGCCGCCCTGGAGGCCGTACCGCCGGGGGAGCGGCTGCGGCAGACGAGCCACGAGCTGGGAGTGGCTCTGGGAGAATCGGCCTACGACTGGTTCCCGCCCGCCACGGCCGGGGGCGAGCCCTCGCCCGCCGCGGGGGCTCCGGGCCCGCGGACCGCCCAGGCGATGGACATGATAGCCTCCGGAGAGGTGGTCAAAGCCCGCGCCATCCTCGCGACCGTCGCCCGAGGCACCTCGGCGGCCGACAACAGCACCGATGGGGACAACAACCCGCAGGCCGGAAAGGGGAAGAAGACGAAGACACCGGATCCGTCCGCGCTGTTCGCACTGGCGCTGTGCGACCACGACCTCGCCGGCGGCGGGGGGGCTGCCGCCGCTCGGCACCTCGCGGAGCTTGATGCGGTCGTGCCACGCCTCTGGCCCGGACCTCCTGACGGCCGCCCGCCCCCGGACGCCCGAGCCTTCCCCCTCGCAGCGCTCGTACGCGCAGCTCTTTTGTCGTCGTCGTCGTCGTCGTCGTTGTCGTCGTCTTCCGCTTCAGCCGCCCCCGCAGCTCCCTCTTCGCCTCCGCCGTCGGAGGAGGAGGAGAAGGAGAAGGAGGAGGAGGAGGTGAAGGAGGAGGAGGAGGAGCAGGGTGCCCTAGACCCGAAGGCACGGTCGTGCGCGCTGGCCGTAGCGTTTCTCCGAGCACCTGTCCACGCCCGCAGGGTCGGCAGGGTCGACTCGCAGGCGTGGACCACGCGGGCGGAGGCGGTGGTCAAGGAGAACGGAGGCAGCCTCGCCAGGGAACTTTGGGGGGCCCAAGGAGGAGGGCCCAGCGGCGGCGACGGCCAAGACGGGAGCCCGGCCGGCTGCGGGGTAGAGGGGCAATGGAAGAGGCTGCAGACCAGGTGGGGCGTCTCGAGCGAGGGCATGGACTCGCTGCTGGAGATGTCGGGCCTCGACGCCATCAAGGCGGACTTCCTCAGCGTGGCAAAGCTGGTGGTGATCGACAGGGAGCGCGGGTACGACCCTTCGGCTAGGTCCTTCAACGTCCGCCTGGAGGGGAACCCCGGCACCGGTGAGAAAGCAGCAGCAGCAGCTCTCGCATCAGGGTAGAAAGCCAAGGGCAAATAAAACTGTTGCTGCGCAAGAATGGACAGAGGGGCGTCATTGTGACTTAAGAAACAGCAGCTCTCGCAACCAAGGAGCAGGGTAGCAAACCCGGCTGAAGAAAACCATTGACACGCAAGATCAAACACAGGCGTCGTTGAGACTTGCCGTTTAACTGGGTGTCTCCAGTTTTGGCGAGTGCGTTCCCGTCTCTCCGCTCCTGTTTCTAAGCCCCTCCTCCCTCCCCCAATACTTCAGGAAAGACAACCGTGGCCAGGCTCTACTATCGGCTTCTGAAGGACCTGGGAGTGTTCGCCTCGGCAGAGGAGCGTGCGGCAGACGCCAGGGCCGCCGCGGAAGCGGCGGCGAAGAAGAAAGCCGACGACGCGGCGAAGGCCAGGCAGGACGCCGAGCGCCGAGCGTTTCAGAGCGCCGGCCTCCCGTACACCGCGCAGAAGCAGCAGCAGCAGCAGCAGCAGCAGCAGCAGCAGAACCCCCCGGCGACGCCCAGGGCGTCCGCTTCCTCCACCACCACCGCCGCCGCCGCGGCATCGGTGGCCGGCTTTGTGGAGACCACCGGCACCGACCTGGCCGACAATGGCGTCGGCGGGCTGAAGGACATGCTGAAGAAGATTCGGGAAGCCGGAGGAGGTGTGCTGTTCGTGGACGAGGTGATGCGGATTGCTTTGCTGCGTGGGTGGCGCTGCTGTTGCGGCGCTCGAGCATCGAGGCGGGTGGGGTCGTGCCCAACCGCTGCTTTGGGCCTCCGCTGCTTTTTTCGTCGGCTGTTGTCCGTGTGCTACTGCTGTGCTTGACTCGTGTTAGATCATATTATAACATTCATGGATACGTCGATCGTTTGATGGAGAACGCGTGGGGTTCTCGCTCCCCAGACATATTCTCTCGCGCCTGCCGCAAAACGAAGGTGACGTGCGGCCCACCGTTGCACGTAAACCATCACACTTCACCAATCCCAACAGAGGGTCCGCGGTTGTGAAAGTGTTGCCGAGGTTCATGTAGCTCATCGTCGGCCACACACAACTAGTCTTGGTTCGTATGAGGACGCTTATGATAATGTCTTTCTTTTATTATCCACCCTCGAACAGGCGTACACGCTCGAGCCCCAGTCAGGCGGCGGCGGGAAGCAGGTTCTCAACTTCCTGCTGGCCGAGATCGAGAACCGCCGGGGGGAGTTGGTCGTGGCCTTCGCCGGCTACGCCAAGAACATGGAGACCCTCTTCGAGTTCAACGAGGGCCTCCCCAGCCGCTTCCCCAAGGTCCTGCGGTTCGAGGACTACAGCGACGCCCTCCTCCTCGAGATCTTCAAGGGGCTCATGGCCAAGAAGAAAGGGCTGGGTACGCTCCACTTCGGTGATTCTGCGGAGGAGCAGGAGGACCCGGAGAGGTGGGCCAAGGTGGCCGTCGCTCGGCTCGGCCGGCGGAGGGGGTCCCGCGGATTCGGAAACGCCCGCGCCGTCCGGGTGCTCTTCGACCATGTCCTCGAGCGACAGGCGAGCCGCCTCAGCAGCGGAGACAACGACAACGGCGGCGACGACGACGACGACGACGAAGACGACCCGTATGAGCTCACAAAGCCCGATCTCCTCGGCCGGTCGGTTTCGAGCCTCGACGAGTCGGAGAGCTGGAGGACCCTCCGGGACATGGTCGGGCTTGGCGCGGTGAAGAGCACGGTGCTGGCGCTGGCGGAGGTGGTGCAGACGAACCGCGTGCTGGAGGAGGCCGGCAAGCCGCCGAGGGACATCGCGCTCAACCGTTGCATGCTCGGGAACCCGGGCACTGGTGAGGAAGTTCTCCACCAGTGCTGATCCGCGTGCTAACACCAAGGCCCTCTCTCTGTTTCTGTGATTCTAGCTATTAATAATAGTCAACCGTGGGGGTGACGGTTGTCTGCACGCTCGCGTGTCTGCCGTGCAGAAGATTTGTCCGAAACGCAGACATTTCGCCAGATGAGGAGGGTGGAAGCGGGAAGGGGCATAAGCACGCCGTTCCACGTGACCCAATTTTTTACCTAGGTGTTTACTACCGTGGGAGACACAGACAGCGTCCCAGCGGTGTGCCCCCCCGTCCTCCTGGCTCTAACACTGTATTTCCAACATCACCTGACATGCTTTTTCTATTCCCCGACTCACGCGGCATCGTGGGGCGCGCCACTAACCCAGGCAAGACAACGGTAGCAATGCTGTTCGCCGGCATCCTGGCGGACCTCGGGCTCCTCTCTAAGGGCGAGGTGGTCCTCAAGACCGCGTCCGACTTCGTCGGCTCCGTCCTCGGCGAGAGCGAGTCCAAGACCCGCGCCATCCTCAAGGCTGCCGAGGGCTGCGTCCTGGTCATCGACGAGGCCTACTCTCTCCGCGCCGGGAGCGGCGTCGGCTACAAGGGGGGCAGCGGCGGGGACCCGTACCGCACCGCCGTGGTGGACACGCTCGTGGAACAGGTGCAGAACGTGCCGGGGGAGGACCGGTGCGTCCTGCTGCTGGGGTACCGCGCGGAGATGGAGGAGTTCATGCGAGACACCAACCCCGGGCTGGCGAGGAGGTTCGCCCTCGACAACGCCTTCAGCTTCGAGGACTACAAGGGTGCGTGAGAATATGTGTTTTTTCTTGTCCTGCGGGGTGAGCGTGACGTTGATGTGCAGTGCAGGAGACGTTTCTTTTTTTGGTCCAAGCAGTTTGGGTCATGCCCACACGACCCAATATTCAGCCTGGAACTTTTCGGGGTAAGAGACTCGCCCGATCTGGCGAAGAACAGAACAAACACGCACATTCGGTTGTTGTTAGCTTGAGGTGGAAATGGGTTTTGAAGGCGTCTGTTTGGGCGGCCAGTATTGACAGAGGGAAGAGAGTGCTGAACTCTTCTCGCATTCAAAATCGAAGGCAAAGTACCGCAGGAGGGGAGGGTAGAGAGAAGCTCTTCTGTGTGACCACGGGTTGGAGTAAACGGCACTAGTGCTGTGAGCGCTGATTTGAAGTGAAAATTAAAAAAAAAAAATTGACTTCAAAGTTCCGCTGCGTTGAGGGTTGCCCACACACGGTCTGGCCCCTTGACCAGCTGTACAGAAAATTGACGATAGCTTTTCTCCAGGTGTTTCCACGCAAAGGACGGTGCTACGAATGTAGACGTGACGATCACAGGCACCTCACGATGTCGAGGCATGATCCTTTCAGTCGCCTTCCACGGTGACGGGGCCCCCTCGCGTCGCTCGCCAACGCCCGCTACACACGCACACCAACGCCTTGCTGCTGTGTTTTTTGTGCCTGCCGCCGTTCAATTGTTGTCCGCCGCTCGCTACACACAAACGCCCACATAAAAACACCTTGTCGTTGTTATGTTCTGCGTGCCTGCCCGCTGTGTGTTTTGATCCTGCAGACGAAGAGCTCCTCAGCATCCTCCGCGGGAAGCTCCATCGAGAGCACCTCACGGCCGGGGTGGAGGCACTCATGGCCGCCGCCGACGTGCTCAGGAAGAAGCGGAAGACGGCCTCGCACTTCGGCAACGGCGGCGAGGTGGCCAACCTGCTGAGCGAGGCCAAGCTCCGGAAGGAGAAACGCCGCAAGGACGGCTCTTTGGAAGCCAGGTGTGAAGCCGTTCTAACGTTCCTCGGGGAACGGGGGGACGACCTTGATCAATGAAATGGCTCGTTCTCGGGTGGCCGTGTGGGAGGGTGTTGCCCGTTGATTGGTGCAAAAGAGGATATCCGCCGGAACAGTCAGGACTACGATGACTGCTGCCGCGAAAACGCACAGTTTTTGTTTCGTATTTTGGTGCGTGGACTAGGAGGTTGGGTGGCCCGTGGACGCCACTCCCCGTGCACCACGCACGCCTTTCTGCCGTCGCGATTGTCCACCACGGGCCCCCCTGCACAGCGGTGCTCATAGTTCCATGAGGGAGAATGGCGATTCGAACGGAAAACTGGTATAAAAAAAAAGCATCGGGTACGTGAAGATACTCAACGGCAAGGTGCGCGCGGCGCATCGCCAGCCCATTATTGCGCGGACGGTGGTGTATTGAATTCTTCACGACCGATTTCCACCCCACCATGCACACACGAAACTCCCACGCACGCAGGCTGGACCCGGAGCTCCTGCCGCAAGACTTCGACCCGGAGTATGGCGTCGGCCCGATAGATGGCGCCGCTCTCGAGGACGACCTGTTCGGCGACCTCATCGGCTGCGCGAACATCAAGTTACAGCTGACGCGGATCCGCTCGACGTTCGTCCACGCGCAGAGACTCGGCCGCGACCCTCGTGAGGTGCGTGCCTGCTTCTCGGCAATACCGAGCGCCCTCTCTCTTTTTCTTGCGGCCGTCGGTACGCCGTTAATTTTAAGCACTTCCAGACGCGTCCGGACGTCCCCGGCGGAACAAAGGATTTGATTCTTACACATACACACACGTGCCCCCACAACATTCCGATTTTTTTCAAGGCAGCAACAACACCCGCACCCAGACACAAACGAAAGCGGCCACATCACCTCCGTCACCCTCCCGCAATGTTCCAGAAACCTTAAGCGTACAGAACATCCACGCAAGCAAATATGGCCGTGGCGCCATTCCCTTGACCGCGCTTTTCGGCGCCCTGCAGGCCATCAACCTGAACTTCCGTTTCACGGGGGCCCCGGGCACCGGCAAGACTACGGTCGCCCAGCGCGTCGGCCGCATGTTCAAGCAGCTCAGCGTGATCCACTCGGACGACGTGGTGTCCTGCTCCCCTTCGGACTTCACCACGGGGTGAGCATCTCGGGGGTGGGGGGGGTGGGTGATGGTGGGTGCACTCGGGTAAACGCATGCCGTAGTCGTTAGACCATTGACCTTGCATCCACCCAATGCCAGAAATTGAGTGATATATGTGCCTGGGGGGGGGGGGGCTTCTTCCCAACGGAGTGGGTATCTTGTCTCGTAACTGCTGCAGACAGTCGCACCGCGTCTACGCTATACTGGCGGGGATCGCTGTTGGCGCTTACTCTTTTCCTACAGATGTCTCCTTGGCAAGTCGACAAAGTTTCAAACGCAGCAGGTCATCATCTTCTGACGAGTGGTAGTAGGATCCGAACCCCGAAGCTCGTGTTGTCCCCTACGCCCAGTCCGCTAGCTCTCCAACCTTGCAAACAAATGAAGTACACCCGATGGACGCCCTGGAGGGTGTCGCCGCGTGCTGCCCACTTGAAATCAGCGCCTGTTGATTGGTAAGAGTGTTGTCGGTGTTTGTTTTTCTTTTGTTTCGCAGCTTCATTGGACAGGCCGCCCTCAAGACCAAGGAGATCCTGGACAAGGCTATCGGTAAGGTTCTGTTCATCGATGAGGCGTACGGCCTGAACCCTCGCCACGGCGGCGGCACGTGGTCCTTCATGCAAGAGGTGAGTACACGGATTTGAACGTCCCGCATGTGCCGAAAAACGACCAGTTTGTCCGCCACGTTCATCAACAGATTTTCTAGAGTGCTAAACAGCCTCTCCTGTTTATAGTTTAAAGACCGAAGCTCCGGGTGTACTTTCCCCGAACACGTTCTTTGCGGTGTTTAGGTGGGGAGTTGAGTGCTTGCGAGGCGTGATTATTTTAGTATTATGCCTTTCGTGCCTATAGTAGAAGTGGAAAGAGCAATATCATCCAAAACATGACGGAAGGACGGATTGAATCATTTTCCCGCTGAAAGACTTAGGTGTGCACACCGCAGAGAGATTCTTCTGCGTCACCCCCCCCCCCTCCCCCTCCGGATCGGAGCTCTTAAGTTCGACAGGAAAATGCATAGGGTAGCCAGAGACTGCCAACTGCCACGGTGAAACAAAAGGGATGTACAAAAAAACAACGGCGCCCCGTCTTCACAATCGTGATCAGCTCAATCTTGTCAACTTAATTATTTTCGTGCAGGTTGTCGACCAGCTGACGCAGTGCTTGACGGACGACAAGTACAAGGGGAACATGGTGGTAGTGGTGGCGGGCTACGCGCACGACATCGACGAGCTGATGGAGTCCAACCCGGGCCTGGCAAGCCGCTTTCCAGAGACCCTCCACTTCCCCAACTTCGGCGTGGACGACTGCTGCCGCATGCTCGAGTCCTCCCTCAAGAGGATGTTCAGCACGGACCTCGCCCCCGAAGCCACGGGCGCTCTGCGGGGGCTGCTGCTTCCCGTGTTGCAGGCGAGAAAAACCGACCACCCTCCCCACCCCCCAGTAGGGTAGAAGATTGGTAGCTCGATTTAGTCCTGTGTAATTCTGGTGGTGCCGTCGGAACGGTTCAAGCGGTGCTGCGGAATGATTTGGTCTATGAGCAGTAGTGTCTCGGGGCGTCCCTGTTGCCTCGTGTTGAGCTTCCTCCTCGACATGCAAGCGCTTCCGTTTTGTCAGCTAAGGACACACGCCCTGGCTTACCTCCCGCAAACGCTCGCCTCATTCCAAGACTGCCGTTTTAGCGCATCATGACTTCTTTGCTCTGCGACAGCAAACCCACCACCATCATGCCGTATCGCAAAACACTTCCTCCGGCCTCCTCCTTTTCCACTGAAAAACACCTTCGCGTACGTCCAGGCTCCTCGCTTCGGCAACGGTCGCACCATCACCGACCTCACCAAGCACATCTTCACCGAGATCGGGATGCGCATGGGTGACGACGGACAGGACAGCGTCGGCGGCAACGACGACCACCGGGCCTCGGTCGAGGGCATCCGCCGCTCCGCGACCGCCGTCCTCCAGCAGATGGCCAGGGTTGCCGGCACCACCACCAACACGAATCCTGCCGCCGCCGCCGCCGCCGCCGCCGTTCCCGAGGCTGTGTTTTCCGCCGGAAACCCACCGGTGCGCCAAGTTCCCCAAACGACGACCGCGAAGAACGTGACCGATACGACGCGTACCGCCGAGGAGCGGGACGACACGGACACAGACACGGACCACGAGGAGGATGTCGACCCCTTCTTGCCCGTGGAGGACATCTACGTCCTGCAGGAGGCCTGCGAGGTCGCGGGGGTGCCCCCTGACAGCCCTGATCTCGGCGACGGCGAGGTCGGCGAACGGCTTCGGCGGGCCCTCGTTCTCCCGAGGGCCGAGGGAGGCATCGGCCTGTCGCCGCAACAGGCGCGGGCCTTCCTGCGGAAGCTCGCCACCGACAGGGCCGGGCTGTCTCGCCTCCGGCGGGAGGAGGCGAGCGCGGCGGCGCGGCCCGTCGCCGAGGCCGAGGGAGCGCTGGCGGAGGTGGAGGCGGCGCTCCGGGAGGCCGGGGACGATGGTGAGGACGAGGAGCTGCTGGCCACGCTCGCGCGGGTCCGGCGCGCCAAGGAGGCCGCGCTGGAGAAGGCCAGGGAGGAGAGGGAGAGGCAGCTGGCCGTGGATGCGGCGTCGAGGGCGGCCCTCGCGCACATGGGCGTGTGCCCGGCCGGGTTTCAGTGGATTCGTCAGGGCAGCGGCTGGAGGTGTGGGGGAGGCACCCACTACGTGTCCGGCAGCGCTGTTGCGGCGGAGATGGCGCGCGGCGGGGGGGGCTCCTAGGCTTTTTTTCATGGCCCTGAAGCGAGGTAAGGGAGGTGGAACAACAGCGTTCAAGGATACAATAGCACTGGAGCGACCGTTGGTAGCGAAATGTAGAGGTTACCGTGGGGTACACAAAACCCGTCGGGGGACTGATTGAATGGTATATTTTTGGGGACGATCTAGGAAACAGGATCGGACTGCAAGTCATAGAGACGGTGCCCAGCGCCGTCCGAAGACAGCGAGAGGGGACTGTTGAACGCTCGCGACCAACGTGTGATGCTTGCGCGAAAAGAGCAATTCCGAAAACAACGTGGTGTCATGGGAACTGGCAAATCGCTTCGATCGATTTAGATCAACATTGCACTCTCAGAGGGCCACTTGCCGTGATAACATGACGGGATGCTCGGCGACATTTAGACATATGCTGTGCGACGGTGGTGTGGGTTGAAATCTAAGTGGGGGGGGGTCGTCCCGCATCTATTCTGGCTCCGGTTTGCAGGTCCTTCGGCGCATGTACCTGGCGTATCAGCCGGGGTCACGTAAGAGGAAGGTCACACAGCACAAGAGTTTTTTTTCACATTGTTTTTGTTTTTTTGCCCCCACCTTTCCCCCTGCGGTGCTTACCTTGGTTTTTATTGCGGGACGGGTTCAGCCATCGCTTTCCCTCGTCGATCGTGAAGCCGAAGTGCGTTTACTCACGGCCTACGGCCGTAGATCGTTTTCAACATTCGGAAAGAAACCTTCCCGGAGAAATTCGAACCCACAACCTGCCGCTAGGGAGTGGTGCGGATTGGCCACTAGGAGATCACGACTTAGGGGAAGCCGTAAGATACAGGAGTACGCCGCGCGATGTTGCTCTAGTTCTTCCGGATGTTGTAGTTGGCCAGCTCGTCAGAGTTGCTACGCGAAAGAAAACATAACGCCGAGAAAGGTCAATCCTCGTTAGCCGTTCGTGACGTCAGGAGGAGGAGTGATCCCACTGACGCTCCTCTTGACGTTACAACGGCGGACAAGGGGTGGTTTTTGCGCGGCACACACAAGGAGCAACGGATGAATGCTCCAACCACGACGCGACAATTGGATGGATTGAAAGGAGACACTCGCAGTTCCAGCGTACGTGGCCGGATCGTAGGTGGCAGACTTTGCGTGTAAGGCAGATATTCCATGGTAGGGATCGGAAGGAACGAGACAGCGGCTTGCTGATATCGTTCGTGCTACGCGTTTGAGAACATTCACAATTCTTGAGCGACGTGGAATCTCATGCTCATGGATGTAGATCTTTTCTTGCCAACCTAAGCTTGACTTGATGTTCAGAGATAGCTTCACCCCGCTGTGTTGCATTCAGGTGTCCGCGAACAAGAATGTAGTGTGCCGAAAAGAACGCGCAGGTTAGATATCACGCCGACCGTGATGATGAAGAGTCTTTGCGCAACCATCTGTGCGTGATTGAAACTCGCGTGGAGTGGCGATGGGCATGCTACATAAGCCAGCGAATGCGCCAACGAGTACCACGTCGTCATCGTTCTGGGGTTTTCGGACAAAGAATGCTTGTGTTTGTGTGGGTGGATCGCAGACCCGGCAACAAGAGCCTGTAGGAGGGTTAGGGTGGGAAATTTGCACTACAACTAGCTGCGTTGGGTTTTGGAGGAGGCGAACAGGTAGGTGCAGGGTATCGTATTCGTTGTCATTCCTCAACAGCTGTAGTATTTGGCAACAAAACGGCGCACACGTTCCTTGTGCTTAAGAAATGTTGCAAATTAGCGACCGGGATTGCCCAACCTGCGGCTTGGTTCGATGGAAGGCGGGGCTGTGGTTCGAGGCCTTGGGGAAGGAAAAGGGCCAACGGGGCTCGGGGAGGCGGGTTGAGGTTGCCCAAGAAGGTTTGCAAAGTAGGGGCAGAAGCGACGGTACGTAGTAGTGAGAGAAATAATACTTCGTACGTAATAAGTGGCGTTTACGTCATTCACGTGGTTTTGAAGGATCGCAGCGTACACCTCAATCAATCATGAACCGACTAAGTAACCATTGTAGACTACATTCAGGTGCCATACTGTCCTAAGAAGTGTCCACAACGAGATCAACTACGCGAACCAACCGCAGTGTAGCAGATCGGCGAAAAGCATCAAGCTGAGAGTCTGCGTCCGACAACCTGAACTTCCGACAAAGCCTCATATCACGCTGAGTATGGTACCTGGTAGCCTATACGGGGAAGTAGTTGAAAAGCAGCAGTTGCTCCACACAGATATTCACTATTTAGCGCACGAGAAGGCGCGCGGACTGCTGCGATCGATTGAGGTCAGGCTATGGCGGTGCTAACATCTCGCATTTAGTGATTCAAGTTTCTCGTGCGCTGAGCCCAGTAAATCTTCTTTCAGCCAACAACCATCGATTGTTCTTGTTCTTTCGACGAAAATGAACCTCCCTCATCGATTTCTCGGTTGGGGCACATCTCTCTAGAGTGGACCGGCCGTTTGTTGCATTTATTTACAAGGGCAAGGGCAAGCGCGTCAACGGCGACGAACGGCGGAGCGACCGGGCGGAAGAAGGCTGCTCAAGGCCGCCCGAACGGCTCAACCAACCAACGGCAAAGAAAACGTCGGACGATGAATTTATTGCACGGTGGTAGCGTTGTGACTTGTACTCCAAAAACCCCAAAAATAATCCAAAGTAATTACAAGTAATTATTATTATAAAAAAAACGCACAGATTTAAATTGTAGCCCGCCCCCGTGCCTCCCGGAAGCCGCGTTGACCGGCCGCCGTCACCAATAGCGCCATCGCGACGGATCCTGCCACCCTCCACCAATAAAGGCGACGCCGAAGCCGCAGTCACCGCCGGCTGTACATCGTCCACACCACCAACACCAACACCAACACCCCGGTCGCGAAGGAGTTGGCGAGTTCTGCCTCGCTCGGACGGGCTCCGCCCCAGCCGGCTGGTGAGGCCCCTCCTAGCGCGCTTCTGACACCTCTCTGGGGGCCGACGCGGGCACGTCATATCGCGGAGTTTACGCGGGCCAGTGCGATGCCCAGCTCGTCCCACACCGCCTACGGCGCGTACGCGAGGAAGCGGTTGGGCATGGCGGGGTCAGGCGGCTTCGCCGTCACGTACGCATCCTCCTGGAGGAGGTCGGCGAAAGAAACCTGGCCGACGTGGACGCGCCAACGGTGCTACCCACTCGCAGCTGCTCGCTGCACCAACGTTTGTTTGCTTCGCATCGAAACCTCTTGCTGCAGAACGCATGACAGGTCCTCCACCTACCTCTCTGGTCCGGCCTTGCGCGTCACCGCCGCCCTGCACCGCCGTCTGCTCCTCCACCCTTCCTTTCGTTACCTCTGCCCCTCGCCGCGCAGCTACATAGCTGCTTCGAAATCTCGCTGGATATATCTTAGCGCCCGTGCGTGCATGTATGTGATCTTGGCAAGCAGCGCTCGCTCCCTCGTCTATCGGGGCCCTAGAAGGACCTACTGGTCGCTATCATGTAGACTGGACTACTGTACTTTCTGTATGTACAACATTAAAATAATAGTCCACGGGGGCAAGACGGGGGATGAGCTTGACAATTACTTTTGTAGTCTATTGTACTCAGTACTCTCCGTAGTGCACGTCGTCAGTCAGACAGACGCGTCAAAGCCAGTAACTCCTCCCCCCATTCGTCTTGTTTAAATATATATATCGTGGAGTACCATATGTAGGTTGTGGTTGGAGGACCCACACATGTACACAAGTCTCCGCGTACCTCTGCTAGTCTTTCTGTGTGTATTTATTTTTGCAGCAGCAGGAAGCAGCAGCTCCAGTTGCTTTCTCGAAACACCAACCAAAAGCATCAACCACTTGCCGGATTATACCACCACCAGGGACACCGCGAGACCAAATGTATGTGCGTCTCTTCTTGTGTGAATTGTAGTCTAATGGATATATATGTAGGTTTGAAGACCAAGGAGAAAAGCCACATGCCATTGATTTCTTCGTCCACGGCAGCAGTCTAAACTTACCAGTTGTGAGTGCGAACAATGGTGACGTCCCCCCCCCGCGTCTGTCTCTCGGTACCAGGTACTCGGTACGGCTTTTTCTTTCGTGTCGGACAATGATGTCGGAAACGATTGTAACCGTTCTTCACATCGGTCGGTTTCATGTCAGGCACACGACGAGATACGGATCTTTGTAGAAAAATGACTTGATTTTGGTGGTCCTCACACACACACACAACGCGGCACAAAGAGACGACAACGAGTGCTGCTGTGCTGCTGCAGCAGCAGTCCCCACCTGGGCCTACATATCGCACGGCCACCAGACACTAGAGCACCAGCAGCACCAGCACCAGCAGAAGCAGAATCAGCAGCAGGAGCATCAGCAGACACGCACCAGCAGCTGGGTGCATCCGCTGCTGGCGCTCCCCCTGCATAGCCACAGGGAGGGGGGCGGGAGGTTAAGACGATGTCGTACTGGGAGGAAAAGTACGGCGGCGGCGGCAGCAGCAGCGGGGCGGGATATGGCGGCTCTGCTTCAAGTGCTTCACATTATGAAGGGATTCCGTCGAGCATCGCGGACGGCTCTGCCTTTGAGATAACCTACTCGACGGCGGAGAGAGGTATGTGAGAGCAGCGGTGAGCCAATACGTACACGGCTGGAGTGGCACAGAGGGAATCAAGCTGTGTACTGGAGTATTTTGGTTGTGTTGATTCTTTGGTGCAGCTTTCCTGACGTCCGACGACCCGAATAGCCGACACAACATCATCGTGTTCTTCTACTCTAGCGGGATGATATTGAAAGGCAGATGTTGCCCCAGCTTAGAAGCAACAGGGCATCGCCCTGCTACGATCGAGGCCCGCGTTTCGCTGCTGCTGCTACTGCAGCGCGCCTGCCCCCATCTCTCTGTGTTCTTGGAGCCATGGTGATGTCACAGAACAGACACTTCCGACAGCGATTTCGTCCTCCGAACTCACCCACTTTTTCTCTCCACCCACACAAACATCTGGTCTTCTTGTATTATTCAGGAAACATAAATACACACACACAAAGACTACCCATTCTTTAATGCTGTTTTTTATTTGGCATATTTGCCTGCTGTGTACATACATATGCATACGCTGCTGGTGCTGCTGTGTGTAAGCCCGCGTTCGGCTTATGACGTCTTTCGTCGCAGTGACTGCGCTGCTGGCTGTATTGCTTCTCATTTCGGTTTGCCTTCCGGCCTATTATTGTTGGCACGGTCTCCCGCCCGGGGAGAAAAGAAAACGGGAAAGGAGGTTCAGCAGCAGCCGCTGACAGCCCGCGAAAACACCGACTGACTCCTTTGTACCAACCACCACCACGCTGGCTGCCTTGTTTGAAGTATGTTTGGTGATTTGTTGTTGGTCCCCTTCCTCTCTCTCTCTCTCTCTCTCTCTCTCTCTCTCTCTCTCTCTCTCTCTTGACTTGGAGTAGAATGGTAAATACTATGTAGCTGCTGCTGCTGCTGCTGCTGCTGCTGCTGCTGCTGTCCCTCTCTCTTCTCCTGTTCCATGTCTTACCATCTATCTATCTCCTTGAGAGCCGTTCTCTGTTCAAATATTCAGCAGCCGATCCCCCTCTAGCCGGGGAATTTTTGTCTTGGAACTTCCGCGCTCTCTGAGAACTCGACGCTGCTGCGTTCGTGCCCTGTCTGCTGTTTTTGTATGCGCGTTCCTGGAGGCCATCCCCCTCCCTCGCCTCGTTGTGGTTTCGCTGGAACCCTGCTGCTTGCTTTTAACGGACGCGCATTCGTCAGTCAACGAACCCCCCATGAACTCGCCGTCCTTCCTTACCCTCCCCCTCCTTTGGTGAACACGATTATCACCGACATTACCCCGCGTACAAGTATAGGGCAGACAGAGGCTACATTGTACTATTTTTCCGTGCATGTTTTCGTTCTCTCTTTCCTGGGGTGACGTGTGCACTTATAATACAGTATTTACTTTCGGCGGGGTTTAGATCGAGGAGGATGAGGAGCATGCGTTTTTTTCGCCCCGCCGCCGCCGACACTCCGCTCACGCAAGAGTAGCCGGCGGCGTCTTTATGCTGCTTTTCATTCATCTCAACGGCTGCGTATATTCTCCAATATATGCTGCTTTAAGTACTTCCAAGTAGATACACTTGGCGTTAATATTTACTAGTGTGTACCTGTGGTTGCAGTATATCATTAGACTAAAAAAAGTGGACTTTTTTCTCTTGTACTTTTTAGAGCAGCAGTAGCAAGAAGAAAGACTCATATCAATATATCAATATCTGGCATGGCGGTTGGTATGGCGGAGGACTGTGGCTGTACGGCGATGGAGAGGGAATCAAAAGTACTTGTGCGTCGGACCTGGTGGGTGGTGTAAGCAAGTACTTGAGAGAGCTCCAGTACTCCACGGCGATTGATGATGTCCAGGTGGCTTCACACAGCCGAATAACTGCTGTAGTTCTCCGTTTCCTGTAACAAACAAACAAGAAACATAACATTTGTCTTGGTTGATCTCCTTCATTCCTGTTTGTGCAACCCTCCCCCCTTCCCTCGCGCGCGTGCCTGCAATGTGTGCGTACAGTCATGGCGTGGTTGAGGCTGGTGTTGGCGGTTATCTTCTTTGTCTTCGGGACGTACGCTCTCGTCCTGCTCTACCGCTCGAGATACATCCTCGACATCCGCGCAAGGTTTAGTTCTGTCTTGCAGTTACGATCACATACCATCAGAGTACAAGCTGATGTTGAACACAATCTAAATCATACAAACCGTATAGGCATGTTGGAAAAATTGCGCCTCCCCGGGACCGCCTTGCCCCTCTTCTTCTTATTAAAGCGCAACGAATCCACCTGTGTAACCAATTTCTCCACGACCAAGCGGATGCCACATTCAGTCGAATATGATTATGGTTCAGTTTCGGAACGCTTTCGGCGACGAGATGGTTCCAACGCCGCCATTTGCGGCACCGGCACTGCAGTGACTGCAAGGGTAATCAAATCAGGATGTGATTGTCGACCCGGCGGGTGTCGTATCTTATGCACTGGGTGTGATTTGTTGAGAGGGAACATGCGTAGTATAATAGTATGTAGTTGAATGGACGGGAGTTGGAGCGGTGGGAAGTGTCGCGCCCTCTTTCGAAGCAAGATTAAGATTGAGGTACGATAGGATAGCGCCCCCCATGAGACGAGCCCCCTCTCTCGACTAACTTGACCGCAGCAGCAATATAATTATATGTAATATATATTATATGTAAATAATACGTAGCCTGGCCGACGTTGACCCTTGATGACCCCCCACCCTCCTCCCACAACTTCCTATCCCCCTTTCCGTCGCCGCCTCCCCACGATTGTAAAACCATCGACGCAACGCTTGGGAACCAGATCGGCGCGTCTCGTCTTGATGGCAGGCTCGTCCATGGTGGTTTCGTACCTGGCGGCCGTCAACCAGTCGCTGTTCATCCTGTGGGGAGCTACCTACTCGCTGGACTGGTTCTGGATATCCCTGCTGCTGTTCTCCGTGTTGCCCCTCGTGTTCGGGAGCTACATCTGCCGCGCGCTTCGCCTGGCCGTGATTTTCCACCCGAGGGCGAAGCAGGCCCTGCCGTGGCTCATTCCGGTGAACCCTCTCTCCTCTGGTTTGGGTTGATATGATACACAACGGCAGCAGTAGTAGCAGCTGCAGCAAGAGCAGCAGCAGCTGCAGCGAGGACTTTTGGATTCCCGTTGCAGCACGTGTTGGTGCGTCTCCCCCTCCTCTCTGGCGTATCCTGTCTGCGTGCTCTGGCGTCGCGCGCGTCTTCGATATTCGTGCATGCCTGCTAGTTTGCGCCCCGATAGTTGACCGAATCATGTTTTATATCGCTCTCTCTGACAATGAGAATCCGCCCACACCCCAATGTCCCTTGGCGCGTCTTTTGCGGGGCTTTTGTACGCGTTTCGTGATGTGTGTCATGGCCTTAGATTTCTTGTGCGTACTATAAGACGCTGATTTCGTGGAGCAGCACAGCTTACTCCCTTTCGCCGTGTAGTTGTAGGTCGAAGAGCTCGAAGTAGTTTCTTTCCTGGTTGGTGGGAGTCTGGTTGCCAAGTCCACGATACACGCCTGCGTGAGCGGATGCATCGCTTCGGTGTGTGTATCAACTTTGCTGTGTTGTTTCTCCCCCCCCCCCCCCCCCCACCCCACCCCCCCCCCCAATAA